GTAGTTATCAAAAGCCATCTATTTCGCAAAAATAACCAAAACACAATTTGCTCGAAATTTGATTTTAATCTTGTATTCTGTACTGGAGGAAAGTCCTAATTGAGCATGCTGTTTTTTTCTATTTGCACAAATTTTACGGTCGTTTTGTTGAGTCAAGCGTGGTCCGAACACAACCGCTTCTGGTTGGCAAAACACGGTTGGAAACTGTCACACCCTCGACGATAACTTTATATGGAATGTACTCGTAAACAAACTCTTGGCAAAAAGTTTATAGAAAAGGTATTCAAATCAAAGTTGCTCACGGATCGGGAGAGATAACAGATTCATAATTTTATACGTAGAAATACTTTATAGGCCTTTGCAGCATGATCGTAGCGGGCCTTAAGATGTCTCAGTGTGCATTGTACTTATACATGTGTGTACATGTCCGAACCCAACCGATCCGAAGTTCGGCAAAAAATGTCCAAGCCCTGTCTGAGCCGAATCAAACCTTGGCACATACTTGCGCACTATTTGATGCGGAGTTTGACATTTTTTTATTACCTTCAAAGAATATGGTACACGTAACAGAAGTTCCAAATAAATTCATATTGCGTCTATGTGAATATTTCCTTTCATAGACGATAGATTAGGGGGTAAATGAGGCAACCGTGTTTGGCATTCCCCGTCACTCCCGTATAAACGCATTTATTTTCCAGTCTAAAAAACGCTTAAACACGAACAATTATCTTGGGGCGATGCCTTTTTGTCATGAAATACCAACTCAAAACGTATCTGAAGCTAGATAAATGTCTGTAGCCTGGAATGCAGTTGATTTTGCGTCTTCCTATCACAAGGTGTTAACCACTAATCCTCACGGCCAGCCCAGGAAGGCTGACCGGGGCCAGTGAAGTTCTCCTTGAATAGGATCTTTTGTTCACAACTATGGCCATGCAGCTACAAACTCCATTATTGTTAGGGTTGCTCGTGAAGCTAGACAGTCCAGGACAGACAGTTCTTTTCAAACCGTTGAACTGTCCAACACCAAAAGACGAACGGAATGAAAGGGGATTAAAACCAACCGTTCAACTGTTTCTAAACCGTCTGTATTTTGACCTCACGCCCTATCTCTATAAAACAGCCACAAATCAGATTAAATACATGTATCCCTTTTTAGCAGCTAGTAGAATATCCCAATTGAGACCATTTTTGCTTACTTATGATGCTTGTGATGCATTACCATTTTAGTTTTGTAGGGGGCGTACATGTACATGAATGTATACCACTGGTAATATACCGGTACCGTGCACTAAGCCCTGCCATACAGTGCCGACCATACGCACGGTACAGAGCAGAGCATTCAGGGCCTCGTTGGGCATCGACACTTGGCCACATCTGTTGTGCGTGCTCATCTGCCTTTTGTTCTCATGAATTGAAGGACCTGATTCTGCTGATCTTGTGTTCAGAAATGAGTTTGGTCATAATTACAGAGAAATTTTTGTTTTTCTTAAATTTTGTCCAAACTTTAATGGCTGGGGGAACCTACAAAGTAGAACGCCCCCCCAATATTTAAAAAAAGGCTAAAAATTGGGGGGGGGATATTCAGTGTACTCCACAGGCTGTTTTAGCAGGGTTGACCGCCCTGCCAAAATTTTGGGCTGCCCAGCTAAAATTTTGCCACCCTGGTAAAATTTGTGCCGCCCTGCTATTTTCTTGAGTAATGTATTTTTCCCTGAATGTCTACTTTCTCAAGATTTTAATAAAAAAGACGTTTACCGCAGTTTGTGGATCAAGTCTGAGTTTACCGACGACGCTTATGATGTACTGACAATGACAAAGAACACCAAGTGTTGAGTGCAGCATGAGTCTATACGCAACGTTGCGTTATGTACATGTAAGGCATGTGTATTGGTGTAGACTGGTCCCACTCCTCCATTATCAAAATGTAGTAACGTTGACAACCAGTTTATTGAAGTAGAAATTCCTTAATGCAAGAGGGCATATTTTTCGGAAACTAGGCTGGGTCCAAATAACTTGGCTACGGCCTGATGTTATGTGCGAATCTATGTAGAGAGGTCGCAGCCAGCTTCCAATTCGTCGACGTGTAATTTAAAGCCACAGCCCAATGAATGATTCGGATCTCAGATCTCAGGTGATCGTTGGCTGCCTATCATTACGCACAGTCAACCTCTTGTCCCAAAAAACCACCGCGTATGTTTGGTACATGTACACGTACATTGTATTGTGCAAGCGTGTACATGTACACGCAGTCGTCGCAGTGCATGTGACTGGTGCCCGCAGCGCAACATTGTTTTGCGGAGTGTGCGCGAGCGCCAGTGGAAGGACCGTGCCATGCCTGAGCGGCCCCCACGCTCTGCTCCGATGGAGGGGTTGCTTCATTTTTATGACGTGAGCTGGAAATTGTAAACTTACCTTTGCCTGGACATATTTCTTTTGTCCTTTTTTATTTCAAGGGCACATTTTGAGGCTTGTTTTTACTTTGCCTTTTCATAGTCAACTGAGCATTGAGAAAACCACATGCTCTACTCATCTCATGTCTCGAGTCACTAACATAACTAAGGTTCTGCTAAAAATGCTCCGGAATTTAAAATAATTTCATCATCAAATCTTTCGATTAAGAAATTCCTCCTGAAGAATATCCTAGCCAATATTTCACGTTGTAAATGCAATCAGATTTGGGACTAAATTACAGACGAAAGTGGACTGGAAATTGCCCCAGAATGCACCACAGAGCATCTAGAATCCAAAATTTTCTGGGGCCCTTAAGCAGGCCCCAGACCCCACGTCATAAGGGCTTTGCACTCACAATTTTATCTACCACCCTGCCAAATCTTTCGGCCGTGGAGAACACTGGGAGGCAAAATCTTTCCAACTTAACTTTGCGAATATCTTAATTTGTCACCTCCATACAAAACTCTTTCTCGCTGAACACATGTATTACTTCCGCCTTGTCAGCTCAATGTGGCACATTATTCCATTGTATTAAAACTGCATGCCATAAGTTTTACCATTTACGATGTTGTCAATCATGTCAATCGACACGGCACATGTTTCACACGTACTCACGTCACACAAAACGGGTCATAATCGTCATGGTCAAGGACTGTCATGACGGTTCAAAACCATTGGAAATTCATCGATTTTTACCTTAAATATCGCTTCGATAACACCAAAACTTGAAACCACGTAACCTGCAAATCCAAACTGTGAAGTGGAGAGGGGTTAAACACACGACATTGGCAAACACTAAAGAAAACTTTGCGTGCTAAAAAACACACGTGTATTCTGTCGACCGAAGAACCCAGGCGCAGAGAGCGAAATAAAGAACTGACCTGGTAAAATGTACAATCCATGTTTTACAAGGAAACACGTCACGGCCTTGGCAGTTATTTCAACGTACAGTTGAGGTTCTCCTTGAACTATGCTACGTTTTCAACTTCCAGGTTTTCTTTTTTGTTGATCAACAACTTTGAGACTAAATTAAACGTAGCATACGAAATAATGCATTTGAACAGCTTGATTTAGTGAAGTTTACGATAAAAGAAAGTACTGCCAACTACAGCCAACTACGTGCAAAGAAACAACATGATCGTCTCGGGTGAAACCTTTTAAAAATTAAAAGAAACGTAAAGCTCTAAATAGATTTAATGATAACGGAGGAATAGTATGGGAATTTCTTTTAACTGTAGTACGTTTGTAGTTCATTTTCTGTTTTGCAGATGCTATTATGCATGGCCACGGATTTCAGAAACAAAGCAGATCGACTTTTAATGGAAAGCAGCTAGCTTATATAAAATCAATAGGTTACCGGGAGGTTTCCCGTTTCATTCCCGTCATGCAATTATTATAGAAATGGTGGCCGCCTAAAGCTCAGAATTGTGTTCATTGGATACGTGAATTTGTGCGCCGTGTTTGACCCACTGTTTATCGTTAGCCAGTATCATATTATTTGAAAGAAGTGAGGCTGACGGAAGAAATAACCATGGCATGGTCTGGGGAGCAGAAGAGGTTGGAAAACAAGAAAAAGAACTTGGATTCAAAGATTCGGTTCAGTGCGTGGACGCCGATGAATCATGCACCGACGAATGACAAGGTCAGCACCCACGATATAACATGTTTAACTCATGGGTGCAGGGCTCGTTATACGTGCCAGTTGCTCAGAATGGTTACTTGAATCTGCGTGTCTTACATCATGGTGTGCTGATATTTCAAATTATTATCAATACTCCAGTTCATTTAATCATCGTAAACTGATTAGGGCCCTATTTAAGTTGTTTGGAAAGAGTTCCGTATGTGTCTTAGACAATGCCCATTTTCCCTTAGAATTTTATAACAAAAAGGGATAAGTCCCATAAAGTAAAATTTTGCTGAGAAAATTCTGAGGCATTTGCTTAGAAAAACAGTTGTTTTTTTCAGACAAGTCTCATTGGTTAGTGCACGGGGCATCAAGTGTTGTCCATATATGGAACTCTTTCCAGTTATTTTGTCAGGCTGTATGATGTTTATTATTGGTTTAAAATTGTTTGCATTTATTTCCACACTTTGAGTGGGAAAAATTAGATATTGAAATTAAAGAAATTCAGACTTCGACACAGTATTTGTTTTAATTGTGACACTGAAAAATTCATCCATGTAATGAAAACCAAGGAAAAACATGAAGTTTTCAAATAATTTTTCAACTTTAATTTAGGCCTAAGCCTGTGAAATTTTGGGATCATTGCAAATTTTCTTCACTTCAGTTTCTTCTCCTGTGGCCATTTCAGGTTTATGAGGAAAGGAAAGATGTGTTGAGGAAATGGGTAAGTTGCATTTTATTTAAGTAATTAAAGCATGACAATTTTCCATTTTGATTATTTCACTATCAAAATGAGCATAACTTTTCTATTCACTGATCTGCTAATAAATGGAATTTCAACACTTTGCATTTTTTTAAAGTTCTAAATACCAGTTTAGTTCCCCAAATGGTTCTAACACCTTTTTGATTTTGATGCTTTGTTCAGTTTGACAGGTGGAATGACTCACAACGCCGAGCATCCATTGTTGAAATTATGGAGCGCTGTTCCTTGGGACAGCTACAGTTCATGAAGCAGATTGCAGTGTCCAAATTGCCCATAGTCTGTCAAGATTTCGCCAGAGAGCTCCCAAGGGCCATCTGCCTTTATATCTTCTCATTTCTGGATCCCCGAAGTCTCTGCCGATGTGCACAGGTACATTGGATATTTCAGATGAGGTTGTATGTCACACATGAGAAAGCTTTGAAGTATGTTCCTCAAGGTAGGAAATTTGCATTTATAATTTTTTTTCTTTGTGTTCACAGGTTTGTTGGTATTGGAAGTACCTTACTGAGCTGGATCAGATATGGATGCCCAAAGCACTGCGGCTAGGCTGGTACCTTACCTTCTCCCCAAGTCCTTATGAGACAGGTGTATGGAAGAGACATTACCTGGAAAACGTCAGGAGCTTACATTATGTGAATCCCAAGGTAAGAGCATACCCAGATAGAATTAACAAAACAAAATCTGGCCACCTTGAGTATAGTTGACTCTAGATACACACTTACAACAACCTACTGTTATAAAAAGCAAACTTTGAAGTCCCCAGTTTCTTGAATTCCTTTATTCCCTGGTCCTTTTGCAAGATGATTCTGGTTATAATTTTAAGCTAGTTTGGAAGGTCCCAGCAACTAAGTTATGATGAGAGTTTGCTGTACTTGATTAAACCTTGAGGCAACAGGACAATCCAGAAATTCCATAAGTCCAAAAGTCTCATTTGATTTTGAAATTGAGTTGTTTTTTTTGCATGAATGAGTGAAACAATGGAAGCCGTACTTTTGTTTAAATTTTGTAGAGTTTCTATTCATCATTGAACAAATTTTGCATGCACATTTAGGAATCAAAGGTGCCAGCCAGTTTAGAAATGAATGGTAATACGACAGAAAGCCCCAAAACTGAGAAGACAAGTAAACGGGCCACACCCAAGCTGAGGAGCAGGCCCCCAAAGCCCTTGGACCACAAGCCGTGGAGGGTGAATGACCCGGTGGCTGACAACCTACGGAGGAATAACTACTTGGACAACCCGGACGAAATCCTCCAGCAGAGGTGAGGAGGGGTCTCAGAGTAACTCTTGATCCATCCTTTGGGTAGTTGCATCCTGGAAGTGCTGCCTGGATGTTCCCACCTGAACTTGGCGTTGGCTTGTCCTTGATGGATGCTGATGAGATGGCAAAACAAAAGCACTGATCAGTAGAAAAAGTATAAAGAAGAGCAAACATGGCAAAGGAATTGAATTGTTCATTCACAGGAAAACTCTTTTGCAGATAGTTTTTTATGTATTTGGGCAGAGGCCTAGCACTTGCTGTCATCTTGCTTAAGACACTTTATCGTAAAGTTTTTGAGCTTGACAAAATATTGTGGTAAAATTTATTTGGGATTTTGTAGGCAAAAACGTCTTGAGAGGAGCAAGCATGTGAGAGAACGCCGCAACTCGGCCTCAGCCTCAGATCTGACAAAGGACTCAGAAATGGCAGTGAAGAAGACACGTGCATCAGTCAACATGGCCTACAAACTCAAGAAAGCCAAGTCCTCATCCGTAAGGTTCTTGAAAAGGCAGGAAATATGTACCGGGCGGTGTTTTTCAAGGAGTAAATCTATCAAATTGGTTCCAAGTGATCACTTAACCTGCCTGGAATTTTGATCAGTGTTAACTTTGGTTTTTGTGTACTCTGAGCTATACATGTATTTACAATGTACCAGAAGACTAGCATATTAACAAATTCTGCAAAAAGCTCCAATTTCGAGCTTTCAATTGCTGAGTAACATTTGTCAAATTTTAGGAGTTTTCTTTGCTTAATGGGTCAGTGGTTTCATATACATTTTCACATTAAGAAGTTTTATTTTAATACAAAACGTGCTAATAAATAACTTGTTCACAATGCAAAATTATTCAGTGTTGATTTATTTCATTTAGAATATTGCCGGCGATGATAAGCCAGCATCCAACCTGGCTCCTGACAGACCCATGTGGGCCCAGAATGTGGGAAACTTGCACCCTGATATGCTCGTAACGGCCAACACCGTCGGGGGTAAGGATGCCTCAAGACGACCCCCACCCCTCACCAAGAACATCCCACCCTCGGCTGCCGTTAGGAGAAATGAACGAGACTTACCAGGTATTTTGTTACACTTGACTGAGTGGTTGTTTTGACAACTGAATTCCACACTGTCTGGTACATTTTTTCCAAGATAATGCCAGTCATTTGCACTATCTTTCTGTCAAACCCTCATTCATTCTCATCAAACAATGTTACAACTGTTGCACGGTTGTACTGTGTCCAACAGAAACCAATGCTGGAATAATTTGTGTCAGGAAATTTATGGGCATCTCCCTGTGATTGTTTTTATAATGTAATTTTTAACAATGAATAAGCATTCACTCTTGGTGACTGGTTTAAAAATATTTGCATCAATGTTTTTTTGACAGAGGGCGATCTGTTTCCAACTCGAGGATGGCAACAAATTGATGTTTCTGATGACGAAGGATGATGTTTCTCAGTGTCAGTGTTAACGTTAATTTTAGCTTTGCCGATTCATTCACAGAAACAGGTACATTAAGAAATCATGAAGCGTAGAGCTATAATGACAGCTTGTCAGCAAATGTAAATCAATTTTTTGCAACCACAAGAACTGAACAGTATATAACTTTACTTTTTGTCATAACATGTGGTTATGCCATAAGATGTGGTTACCGGTGGTTAGAATATGCAAGGTTACGTTTCAGAGTACTTTGAAAATGTTATGATCGGTAAAGGTGTTTTGAAGAGTACATCATGGTTTAACTGCTGGAATACTTTTTTAAGATTATTTATTGCAATGTACAAGATGTGTATATAATTGTGCCTTTGAAAATTACAGATTTGGTGATTGGAAAATAAGCTTTTCAAAAATTCTTCCTTAAATTATAATTACAGTGTATTGTCACTCTAGGGAAACATTGAAATGTTTTGGAAGCTGACAGTTTGTTTTAAACTTTCTGTTAAGAGATGCAACCAAAATGGCTTACATATTTTTAAGGTAATTACATAGGTTTTCAAAGATGCTGGAGAGTTGGAAGAAAAAAAATTGTATGGCCTAACAGTTGTATCAATAGTGTTGTAGCATCTTAATATCTTGGACTTACACAATTCAAAAACTATTTCGGAAATCATTGGCAATTGTCAGCATGGTAATAATGATATTTATGTTATGAAAGCGTGCTGTTTGTACATGTAGGCCCTCACACATTCCTACAAATGGCAGACTGAAAATGAAGCACGTCTGTTGAGTCTTAGGCAAGCTGGACTTACATTGGTCAAATTCACGCTGGTTAAGGATGTCTAGCTGTTGGTTTGTAGCCCGCCTACAGAGGTTGGTCACGTACATGTATCTTAGACATGTCATGATGAGATTTGAAATGCACATGTATATCAAACCACCCTTGAACCAGTGGTCTTCGATCAAGCTTGCTCAACGCTTGCCTGATATTGGTATTCTTTCTGTGACTTATTGGCAGATACAGATGTGAAAATGCAAACCTACTTCTGGTTAATCAAATTAGTCTTTAAAATTTCTAAAGATAAGCTTACTACATTATCTTGTAAATCATTTTTTTAAAAGATATGCTTTTAGTGCAATGGTGATGAGGGTATTCTAGTTTAACAGTGTCAAGAAGTGAGTTTTTAATGTCTGACTTCTTGAATGGTATGATGCAGTATTTTGTGCCATACAAGTCTCATGAAGGAAAAAAATGGTACACAGCTGAATTTTGATCGTTGTAAATATGCTTAGCATCAATCAAATAATGAAGCCTAAGTTCTACAAGGTTAAATAAACGAATGGTATCAAAAAAGAAAAGCCATCTGTGTTCAGTGACTGTATTTTTCCATGAATGTAGTTTCTGGGAATCCATGGGTGTACCCTTTCCCTTCAATACCTTCATTCTAGTTGAAATTCTTCTCTGGATTAAGTCTCACCATTTCTCAGCATTTGGCCAATTTGCATTGAAACCAATAATCTCTATGGGGGACTAACAAGAGAAAAATACATAATGGTATCTTCATCATGAACATCTGAGTGTGCAGCATGTAATATAATTTAATGTAAATATTGTGGCTTCAAAAACTACTTATCAGCGTGCCATCTTGGGACTAGTTTAAATCAATGTCGATTGAACACGTATATAGGAACGGACAATATCTTCTGAGTTTCCGTGAAATTCGGGGTCTTTACTAGCGGCATGGTTGCAGAAAGAGGTTTCAAAAAAGATTACATTGGCTCTGTTTAACCACGGATGGCGCTCTTTTAAAACTGCTAGTCTCCAGCGCGCGCGCAGCGCTAGCGGCACGTGTCATTGGGCCATCGGCCGGGCCGAATTGAAGCGTGTAAAAAGATAAGAAGACTAGTACATAGTCACACTGTGCGTCTGGTAACTGGACACAATATAACGTTACTGTAGCTTATATCGGATGAGTACCAGTTTGAGCATGAAGTTGACAAAATTTCCCGCGAAACTCTTGGCAATTATCAATGACACGACGAGTTGTGGAAGTCACGAAAGGTGCTGGCGCGCAAAAATCTGATTGGTAAACGTTTAAAATGCCCAAAAATACCTTGTTTTCGTATTTTACCAAGAGTCCAGCAGTAGCACGGAAGGCTACATCGCCAGTGATTGCTGACGATGTCGGGGAACAAAAGTCCAAGTCGCCGAAGGAGACAGCCAAGGGCACACAATCGAACGGGACGGGGATGGGCATGAAGAGGGGCAAAGGTGAGTTGGTGCCCGGGCGTTGTGTTCAAACGACTAGTTGATGTGATTCAGGGTGTTGATTTCAGCATGTTCAGCTAGACATGGCCAGACCTGTAGTGTTGTATTGCCAACAACTTTTTTTAAAAACTGTGCTCAAATTCCATGCTTCATTGTTATCACTTACATTAAAATCTCTTTAGGCCTAACTCAAAGTCGGTTAATTCGAAACTCAGCTTAACTCGAGGAATAATTAATTCCTGCCAAAAGAATAGGCTTTTATGCACAAAACATATCCATAACTCGAACTGCTCATGTTGGCGGATTCGTTTACCTCGAAGTTTTTGTGTAGCAGATCCAAAAGAAACTGCCGCCAAAATACTTTCAGAAAGTGTAAACAGAATGCGGATCTAGTTATGAATCATTTCTGACACGCACACTTCGTCTTTGCAAACCGGAACACTTGCAAGCGCACTAAAATGATGATCAATCTAGACACGTAAACCACACCGTGACCGCAAAATCTGACTTGCGGGAATTGGCCCAATTGTTACTGTGGACCCATTGTAGCCAGAGCATTGGCAGGCCAACTGATGGCTCTTTGCAGTGGCTGCGGCAATGCACTGGAGGTTTTTGTGTATGCCGCACTACCGCACATACCAAAGTTAAGTCTGGCCTAATGGTCTGGCCCAACTGCTTGTGCTCGCCCGTGCAATGGCTGCCCAATTAGAGCCACAAACCACAGCATGCTCACGCGCAGTGGACCAACCACGTGACTGCAATGCAGAGCTCATTCATAGCCAAATCTCACTCCCCTAAAATAAACAAAAGTTTGAAAATAAAGAACGAGCAACAAAAAATAAAAACAGACACCAATGGCATTTTTGTTTTTACGAAATTTTATTGAAGCGCAAAAAGGTGCGCCCTCATGTGATGAAGAAAGTCGTCTGACTCATCGGTTAACCCCGCCCGAGTACACATGTGCAAAAGGCGCTGCGTTGCAGTGTGGTATCAGAAATGGGACCACCACAATGCATCACACATGCCAACGCAAAAGAAAGATTTGCCACACAAAGGTACACAGTTTAAATGATTCACAGTACATGTAATGTGTTATTTATCAGCCGATTGACAACAAAAATTATCCGCAAAAATGTCTTTCTATGAACAAAAACTTGTGGCACCAAAGTATAAAATAACCACAATGTCATTTCAAAAGTCATCGTAGGGAGGTTTACGGTAACTGTGCATCAGCGTATAGGTACGTGTTATGATACACATCGTAATAATGACTTGACTTCAAAAGAAATCCGGACCTTCTTTTAACGCGAATTTCGGATAACTCAAAATTTTGTCCATTCCCCAGAGATTCGAGGTATTGAGATTTTACTGTATGCACAATGACGATGTGTGCAGCCACCTGGCAGCAAGCAGGTTGTTGACCAAAACTAAATCTACACTAGTGATGTCACTAGATTGTGTAACTGTTAATGTTACTAGATCAAGCACCAATGACATCTTTTTCTTCTGGGAAGATTTCAAATAGGTTTCAACTTGTTCAAGATTTCCAATTTAGACTGGTGTCATGGGTGTGTGGAAAACCCACACAAAAGAAATCATGCAATCATGGCAATTGCCAGGGTTCTCTGATTTAAATAACCTTGATTTAAACCACTGACTTTAATCATGATTTTAGTCAAATTATTTTTTTTAATTAGGCCTACTGATTTAAATCAATTAAAATGTTTTTGAAAAAGGCAAATTTTTACTGTTTCTGGTTTTTTTTTACTGTCATTTTTATTGAATATTTAGGCTGATGAAGAGATTGAGGTCATCTGAGAGCCATGATCTAAAAATAACTGAAAAGTTACATGTGCATCACTGTCACTTGATCAAGTGACATATGTTCTATTTAGCGACATCACCAGATTTAGCTTTGGTATTCCACCTGGACAGGGGTGGTGTGAAGTTGGTTTTTTGTTCCTCGTTTGACGTTCGACGTTCAATTTTGAACAAGTAACTGTTCCATATTCGAACGTTGAATAAGTAACCGTTTGACATTCAGGGTGCACTCGCCTAAATGGCTATATAGTGCAACAGGGACAAAAAACAAACTGTTTCCAATATATGTTGATTTGAAGCTTTGCATGGTGAAGTCATGGGATGTATAGTACAATAGGCTTGCCGTTGCAGCATGGACTAAGTCTCTGGGGAGGTTCCTGCTGGTTTGTCCGATGTATACTGGCCGCATCCAAATAGGATGCGGCCAGTATACATCGGACAAACCGGCAGGAACCTCCCCACCAGGCTCCAAGAACACCATGTGCACGGCCCACGAGGAGAGCACGTTCGAATATGGAACAGTTACTTGTTCAACGTTGAATGTCAAACGTCAAACGAGGAACGAGGAACTAACTTCACATCGGTCCTGGACAGGTAGTCTCCATTCTAATCATTATATCATTGTGTACATTACAAGTCTAGGTAGTGCACCATGCAGTTAGAGCAACTTGAGTATGTTTGGTGAGGCTGTTTCTTGGAATCTTACTTCTCCATGCAGACTGCAAGTTCAGTATTGGTGATATCGTCTGGGCCAAGCTGGAAGGCTATCCTTGGTGGCCCAGCCTAGTCTGCAATCACCCATCCCTAGGCTCACATGTCAAGCAAGGCAAGAGGCCACAGGTGCACGTGCAGTTCTTTGATGAGCCCCACAGCCGATCCTGGATACAAGAAAAGTAACTATGCAAGGAGATTCTGCAAAGGCTCCTTGAAGCAGCTTTAGAGGGTGGTCCTGCTAATTATTTATACGTAGCATCAACAAGGGTTGACAATCAGTCGGTGTAAAAAAAAGTTTTAAAAAATGCATTCTAAAGCTTTAAATTAAGCATGCAAACAAGGTGGTAGCCAGAGGGCCACACAAACAGCGCCATCAATTTCATGCTCTCTCACTCAAAATTTCACACTCAAATCTTATTATTGCCAGTAGAGGACCGAAATGTGAGTAGGACAGATACCTGGTACAGTCCCCTCAATATTGAAACTTTGATTTGTGCCTTGAATTTCAATGCCTTGAGTAATGTTTTGTCATACAAATTGATATGTTCACGAATCACAGATGCGTGGAGCTTTTCAGGCTGCAAGACTTCGAGCGCGGAGGGAAGTTCTTCACCCAGAAACCGGACATCGTCAAGGCGGCAAAGGAGGCTAAGAGTGCCCTCGCCATGAAATTAGAGGAGAGACTGAATCTTGTTGTATGCATCAAATCGGACGAGGAAGAAGAGGATGGAGAGGAAGAAATGGAACAAACTGGTAGAAAAAAAAATCAGAAAAGAAAGAGAAAAAAAGATACTGAAATGGAGAAGAATGAAGCAAAGAAAAGTGCCTGCTTTCTTACAATTTTTTATTTAATGTTAAAAACGGTCAAGATGTTTTTTCAGTTCTCATTCTGTCTCAAAACCTTTTATCTCATTTTTGTCTCATTTCTTGTTATAGAAGGTGTCCATCTGTCAGATTGTGTAGTTTGCTTTTCGCTTTGCTTTATATCCAGTTTACTGTAAAAATTAAAGAATGCAATATCAGAAAATGATCACAGATAAATGTACATGTAGGTCTTAAAATCTTACTTTGGTTTTGACTTAAAGTGATTTTTTTCTACAGGAATGAACAGCACTGACAAGACTGGCACCAGTGATAACGGAGATGACACGGATGAAGATGAAGGGGAGGTTGGACACAAGACCAGGAGACATGCCACTCGGGTGACCAGACGTACCCCTCGCTCAGTGGCTAAAAGTAGAAAGAGAAGGCGCATCATTGAGCAATCTGACGATGACAGTTCTGGTAAGAAACAGTTCTCATTTATGGAGGCATGTGGCCTAGTGGTTAGAGTTTGTAGCTTCTGATCATAGGGTCAGGGGTTCGAATCCAGCTGGTGGCAGCATGTTGTGATCCTGGGCAAGTCACTTTACTCCCATGTGCCTCTCTCCACCCAGGAGTAAATGGGTACCTGTGAGGGCAGACATGGTTATGTTTAGCCATTTACGCCGAAATGGCAGCCCCGGCTATTATACTCCCCAGGGAGCTGAGATGGTTTCAGGAATGTTCAGATGATGTGAGAGCCCAATGTGCAGGGAAAATGATAATACAGCGCCTCGGAATTGTTTGCTAGATAGATGGCACTTGTTATTATTCTAGAATATATGGAAATGGAGCCATTTGAATGGTGTTTCTTGGAAAATTCATTGAAATTTATGTTTGCATCAGTCCAAAATCTGAAAACCTGGAATAAGACACATACGTCTGAGTGATACAGTAATCAACAAATTCAAGGTTATAACCTTGAATTTGTTGATTACTGTATCACTCAGACGTATGCCTCAGACGTATGTGTCTTAATCCATTGGTTGCAGGTTTTCAGATTTCGGAGTTTATTTGTTGGACACAAGGCAACAACTGTATTGGTTGGATGGCCAAGTATTTAGTGTTGGCTTTTTTGATGTAAAGAGTTTGACATGTTTTAATGCTCATCGTCATGGAATGCAATTGCTGATTGAGAATTTCTACAGGACATTGGATGATTGTGTTAACGATTTTCTGCTAGGTGACGATTACAGACCAGACGACAGTGAAGATTCGTCAGACAGCGGCAGTTCGGGCGTGGACGAAAACGAAGTTTCGGAACCATCCTCGGAATCAGAGGCCGGCACACCGCAGGTAGGGTTGCACAAAGAGCCAAGACTCGCCATCTTTGTCTCTGAGTCGAACACCTGTAAAGTCTAAACTTATTGGGCAGAGTAGCTTAGCAAAATTCTACACTGAAAAGGATCGGCAGGGTGCCTGTCTGAGCTAATAACAGAAATGTTCTGCGCTAAGCAAACATCATCCTGTTTTTTGCATATTTGGTCTCTAGAAATCGCGGAAGAGAAAACGGGGCGCCACCACTACTCCCTCCATTGGCAAAGGGAGGAAGGTCCTGAAGCCAACTTTCAACGTTATGACCCCTAACCCCAAGGAGCCTTCCGAACCCAAGGGCACCCCCCAGGCCCAAAAGACATTCACCACTCCCACCGTCAGCTGTAAGACAAAGTCAAGATTGTCAAGCTTCCTAGCTCCAGAGGTTGGTCCTGTCTCATATCATCCTGGAAATCTCAAAACAACACTTCTTATCCTGTTTTAAAATCTTATTGTTTGTTTGCTTTGCTCTCTAGCCGATGCTCATATGTCATCAAATGGTCAGGCGACTGAAAGTTATGGCTTCCCCTGGAAAACATTAACCTTTGGATGTCCCTTTAACATGGTGTGACGGATGAACTCTTGCTTAGATCTTTTACAAGATGACTTCTCAACAGCCTGCTGCTTTATTTCTAATGATATTCAGGCGAGCCCAGGGCCCAGTGCACCTCTTGATAGTGACGAATCTCGATTTCCCCACCAGCGATACGAATGGCTGAAAGACGGTCAAAGAAAGTGAGTGCAGAACAACTTCTCACTTGTTATGGGCACTGGTGGAATCTCATTAGTTGGCAGCTTTGCAAAGTGACAAAGTCAGAATTTTCCAAAATTTTTCAACTTCAATTTCAAATGGCCCCGAAAATAAAAGCAGTAAATAAATAGTGTGCACTTGTAACAGCATGTTCAAAATGCTGCAGCCAGGATGGTCACCCGTGTGAGAAAACGTCATCATATTACTCCAGTTCTGCATGAGCTGCACTGGCTACCAGTCCGCAAACGAGTTGTGTTCAAGGTGTTACTGTTGACATATAAAGCACTCCACAGGATAGCACCAAAGTATATCTCTGAGCTTCTCACAGAGCATAAGCCCGCACGCTTGTTAAGATCTGGTGATAAACACTTGTTGAAACAAGTGAGAACATTCACATCATATGGTGACCGATCCTTTGCAGCCGCTGCTCCTAAACTGTGGAATGAACTCCCACTAACAGTTAAATGCCCAGGGTCCTTGCAGTGTTTTAAGTCTTTACTAAAAACGTACCTTTTCAAGTCTTGAATGTTTGAATCAGAATTCATGTATGTTCGGATTTCAATAGTTTTTGACATTACTGGTGTTTTATTGCTAGTTCTAATGTAAATGTCAAGGTATTGGGCATTGCTCCAATTGTTTTAGCTGGCCTGCTTAATTTGTGTTATTCTATAATTAGAAATTTTAACGTACACGTGTAGATTATAATCATGTGATTTTAAGTGTTGTAATATAATTAAGGACCAAGTTTTTGTTTGTAAAACGCATTGAGGAATCATTAATTCATAATGTGCTATATAAATGCAGCTTTATTATTACTTTATCAATTTGTCTTCTTTTTTGTGGTTTTAATGCAGAGATCTTAACGGAAACCCACAGAATCATCCTGACTATGATCCCAGGACGTTGTACGTACCCAGAAGTTTCCTGGACAAAGCAACACCTGTGAGTAGGAAAAAGGGCAAATTTCTTTGACCTACACAACTTAGATCAGTAAATGAGATTGCAATTTTTTCTTAATACATACATGGTTTCTTTTCTTCCTTCTTTTAGGCAATGCGACAGTGGTGGGAGATGAAATCACAGCATTTTGACACAGTTTTGTTCTTTAAGGTGAGTGCAATCCACAGCAAAACACTTTGGAATCAACTCTTGCTTGTAACACCAGCAAATATGGAATGGAGCTTAAAAATGTTGTGAAATGCATTGGGAATGAACTTTTGAAGGCTTGTAAATCGTTGAGATTGTTGTGGGATATCAAAAAAGTGCGAAGCTTTGATGAGTTTGAGCAAAATGATTTCATTTACTGTCATGGTTTGTATATTCCACAGATGGGAAAGTTTTACGAGCTCTATCACATGGATGCTGAAGTGGGCGTGAAGGAACTGGGTCTGATTTTCATGAAGGTTTGTGAAAATCAACCAAAGGAATGAATAGAGAATGTTGGGAAAGCTGGTAATATTTGTTTTGATTTTTGTTTGTATCCACCTTGCTGCAACAGTGACGGTCAAAAGTCTAATCACGATTCTTACACAGTCCTCGCTTTTAATTGTGATTGTGCTTGATTTGGTCTTGTCATTCCAGGGTGAAAATGCTCATTCAGGCTTTCCAGAGATAGCCTACGGTCGCTATAGCGACACTCTCATCCAGAAGGGCTTCCGTGTTGCCAGGGTGGAGCAGACAGAAACTCCAGACATGATGCAAGAGAGAATCAAGAAAAGTGGGTTTCACAGTTGCACATTTCAAAATTTCAAACTTAGTCATGAATTAGAGTTTTTTGTTCTAGAAAGTTTGCTTTGACAGAAAGTTCATTTTGAGATGTCATCAGTTATGTAGCTCATTAGTTGGTCAGGTACTGAAACGAAAAGGTCTTTTTTCTGTTTTACAGTGTCCAAAATGGTGACAAAATATGACAAAGTGGTCAAACGAGAAATTTGTAGGATCTCCACGAAAGGTAAATTTTCATTTAAAATACTCGATAATTGGGGCTTGCAAGTGTTGATTAAGTGTTTAATTTTGAGAGAGTTTATTCTTTTTCTTGTAATTCACAGAATTTTGTGTTGGGCTTGTTGTGATGTTTGTATTGATTTGCATGTCAGGCTGAAGTCCTGATGAAAAGTTGATCATCTGAACATGACCACACAAAGATGTTAAAAAATAAAAGATGTCGCTGCATCTCCCTAAGAATATCCAATCTTACCGTTCTTGGTAGAGCAAACTTTTCCGACTTGGAGACGAAATCAGATTTCTGAAAGATGACTGAGTTTACAATGTGGAGGCCTGCATACATGTATAATGGCTTTGAGAACTTTCCATTGGTTCTTTCAGTGCCAAATAACACCTTTTTTGCCCCGGTAATCTGAATTTTTGCTGAATCCCCCACTGAATAGGTTTTTCAAGGAAGGTTTATTTGAAAATCTGGACAAGGCAAATGGCAATCCAGTCCTTAAAAAGTGTGACAAATGCTGTATCACGTGCTGTGTCAAACTTAGTTTGGCTTTCATTACTACTTCATCAGGAACGCGCACGTTCAGTTTTATCGATGGGGATACGTGCGTAGCTCAGCACAGCTACCTCCTGGCTGTCAAGGAGACATTTGATGACAGCAGCGGAGGAGAGAGGACATATGGTATCTGCTTCGTTGATACATCCATTGGAAAGTTTCACGTAAGTGACAAGTCCATCACGGATTTTCATTAGGCCTGTTAGACGAAACTTTAGTCTAGGTTTTTTTTATCATATCCAGTCTCTCTTGACAAGAGTTCAAATTCCAACAGGTGTACGCTGTGGATGTTGTTTTTCTGGCCACGTTTAAATTAATTGGGTGTGACTTAAATAATACATGTACTTGATGTTACATTTCATTCCAGCTGGGTCAATTCCAAGACGATCGTCACTGTTCACGATTCCGAACGTTGATCGCACACTACACTCCAGCCCAGGTGAGTTGAACAGAATTCAGATTGGAAACCCTATGGATCAGGCAAGAAGGGGGATGAGGTTGAAGTGGTTCAAGAACAGGATTCTTAATTGTAATTGTCTCATTAGCTACATGTAGACAAGTAGTGACTTTGTGCTTGGAAGAGTTGTATGTTTTGTCCTGCACAAAATTTGCTGAGTGCAATGATGTCGTCATCGTCGCTTCTCACCAGGTCATCTATGAGAGAGGTAAACTCTCATCCAGTTCCCAGCAGATCCTCACTAACAATCTCCTGTCAGTCATCAAGGAGCCCCTGGTGCCTGGCACGGAATTCTGGGACGCCAGCAAGACGCTTAAGACACTGGCCGAGAGCAAGTACTTTGAGGACAAGGAGGGGAAGGGGCGGAGACTGGATGAGGAGGAGGGAGGGCAGGGAAGCATGCCTACTGTGCTTTGGGACATGGTTTCTGAATGTGAGTCCTTTCTTTGCAGTCATTTTGATTCGTTAACTTTTCAATTTCCCAAGTGACTGTTGTGGAAGAATGCATTTGGAAAATTTTTTGCTGAATGCTTTTTTAACTAAAAGTATAATACTAGATGAACTGGGTCTCATGTCCACAAAAAAAACCCAAATTAGAATCATTTCTGATTGGAGCAAGTAGTTTTTGCAACTTCGGGTTGTTCTCATGCCAGCGTGCATATCTACTGAGAAATCTTACATTGGAAATTTTCCACTCAAAAATCCTGTTGAAACTGCGTGCTTGAAGTTACAGTTTTAATCCATGCAAGGAGGAAATGCTTTTGAAAAGGAAATCACTGTCACAAGTGTTGAATCTGTTTAGCTAACTCTAATCCTACATAATACTACAAATTACTACTCATAGTAAAATGTAGTACTGAGCGCTGTTGCTTGTAAAAGGACATGACCTTATTGTTCTGTGAAGCCATAAGATACAATAGATAAGACAATGTACCATACAGTGCTCTAGCACTATGAATGCATGGCTTTATTATTCTCTGTACGAGTAACAATGGAAGAAATCTAGCCAGAAGTAATAATTTGTAGTGCTAGGTCCTTCAGGCTTAGACTGCTACTTAGTATTTTATAGTACTGAGTAGTGTAAGCCAAACAATATGCTTGGCAGTTAGGGTTATTAAGAGGGGAAGGCTGTTTAAAATGGATGCTCACAGCTATCAAACTGTTACCCAGAAAGGTTCCAACATCTCTCCTTAGCGGACACACTGGGTCATTCAGCCAAAGAGGGCTATGAGTTAGCAGTTAGCGCTTTGGGAGCCTGCACATGGTACCTCAAGAAATGCTGCCTTGAACAAGAACTCCTGTCCATGGGGAACTTTGAGCTGTACACACCGCTGGACGTTGATGCCAGCGTTAAGGAAAATGTGGTGGACTTTTCAACCGGGAGACAGCATATGGTAAGATATTGGAAAATGGACATTCGTTAACCCTAACCTTTGCTGCTGAACACAGTTATTTCATGACCAATAAGGTGTCAAACTGATGAAAAGTACTACTTCTACTTAACTACTAAAATCAATGCATTTGGGAAAGATCTCGTTGGAACCAAACTCTCACAATTTTTTGTTTGTATATTCCAGGTGACTCCAGTTGTTAACATTAACAATTCTGAACCCTCCAACTTCAGTACAGTTTTTGTGTCCCACCTCCAAGAGAGATAGGGTTCAGTTGTTTCCAATGTTCAGTATGTTGGAAGTAACTAGGACATTTTTTGTTTTATTTACATAGGTTCTGGATGGAGTAACACTGAACAATCTGGAAATCCTGGAGAATGTGACCACAGGGACTCCAGAGGGCACCCTACTTGAGAGGCTGGACCTGTGCTGTACACCGTTTGGCAAGAGGTTGTTCAAACAGTGGCTGTGTGCCCCTCTGTGCAACCCTAACTCCATCAACGACAGGTGCTCATGTACAGGCCATTTCAAGAATTTTACCCTCTCAAACATCGAGAATAATGGATAAACCTATTTCTAAATTTTTGTCGCAGAAGAGTTTACACGTTAAATATTTGTGTGTGTGTTTGTCTTCTACCAGACTAAATGCTGTGGAAGATTTGATAGACATACCAGACAAGATGGCAGAGGTCAATGAACTCTTGAAGAAACTGCCTGATCTAGAAAGGCTCCTCAGCAAGTAAGATAACATGGTTGATTTGATACTAAAGCTATCATGGCACAGTGTTTTAGGTTTATGGTGTACCTTAACGTGGACACCACCTATTGGCATCAGTCTAATTGAGAATCTAATAAAATTTGTATTTGGTTTAGTTGTTCATTTTGGATGAAAATTTTGCATTTTTGACTCCTTGGTTTTGAAGCAAAATCACTATTTCTCTAGCAGGGCAGACATCATCTTGAAATGCATTACTTTTAAATTCATAACAAACTGATACTGCATTTGTAGAATTCACACGCTGGGTTCAGCCAGACGTAGCCGAGATCACCCTGATAGTCGAGCAATCTTCTTTGAGGACACAACGTACAGCAAGCGCAAAATCCAGGACTTTTTGACAGCATTGGGGGGCTTCAAAACTGCTGGCGATATCGTCCAGATTTTTAAGAATTCTACCTCCAACTTCAAGTAAGTTCTGGCAGTTGGAAAGACAGATAGAAAGAAAGACACATATTCCTTGAACAATTTGACGATTCTAATGATTTTGAAGACTTACTACGTGATTGAAATTTTAAATCTCAAGACGCCAGTATTTTTCAAAGAAGTCACCTGAGGAATTGTTTTGGTATTTGGTGTAAGTGCTTTAATAGATAGGCAGAAAATGTACTCGTCAGCTTTTGCCTAAATTTGGATTGAGTTCTTGATGTGAAAAAGAAAATTTTCCAATGTAAAGAAATTGGCAATCTTAAAAATAACAATTGAGAAGCAATGTCAAGTAATTTGACCAAATATTTCAGTTATATACCATTCCACTACAGTGTCAGCAATCCAGTTGGTTCTGTTTTGCATTAGGACAGAGAGAAATTTCTGTTTGTTGATATTTCAGGTCCAACATTCTACGGCAGTGTGTCAGCCCAGTCAGTGATGGAGGTCGCTTCCCTGACCTCAAGGAACATTTGGTATTCTTTGAAGTAAGTGGACTAAACATGTACAAAGTCCCTTAGTTACTGTGGTGTAGGTGAACTCTCCAAGACAAAAGGTATTAATTTATGCTCATAAATTGGTCAAATTTTGCCTGTGCTCAGCCAGCACACCACTCTGGAATGGTATCCAGAAGAAAACAGCATAGTTAGACGCATGTAGACCTTCAAAGTTTCTGCCGTTAATTCCTTCAAGCAAAGACTGTGGGGCATATTACAAATGATAGGTACACCAGTATTGGCATAGCCTTGGTCAAGGCATTTGTTATTTGCGTACCAGTCGCCCGCTGACCTAGTACGTACCTGCGTACTTCACGCTACCTTAGAAATATGCTAATCAGCTGAACAAGGATGAACGCCCTGGTGCAACCGTCCACTGAAGCTTATGTTTTTCTTTACGTTTGCACTAGATTTCTAGCGCATGACATCGTATTCAAATATGAATAGTGCAGGTGTGCGATGAGTGCACAGTGACCAATCTCGGCCAAATCGACATATGCATAATGCATCAACATGAACTGGTATGCATGATAGCCATACAAAATGACGGACATTCCGAGACGACTGTAGCATGACGAGCTGTCTTGTTGCCTGAATTCCGCTGCAGATAAATTAATGTATAATGTTGGGTGGTGTGTAGGTATGCAGGTACATACGTACTAGTTATTGAGCTGCTGGTGCGAGGTGCGCCGCACTGCGACGAATGATGAAGCCTTGACCAAGGCTAGTATTGGCATACCCTGTGTTGCTTATATAATAAGTGGTGTGCATACGTACACAAAGTATTGTGTAATTGAACGTGCCCCAGGAATTACCCTGACAAAGAAATAGATGCACATTTTGGTGCTTTTAAAACTTTACACTGCAGTTTTCTCAGCAGTCGTCTTCACTTGTATAACATGTACATTTTTTGTGCTCTTATACATTATTTTTCAAGAGAGTTTAACTTACACACGTCAAATCAAAATGGAATTTCATTTTAGACATTGAATGTATTTTATTTCTAACCAGAATGCCTTTGACCAAGACAAAGCCAAGCAGGCTGGTGCTATCATACCAAGCAAGGGTGTTGACCCCGAATACGACGGTGCCATCGCTGGCATGAAGGCAGCCAATCAGAGACTGGATGACTACCTGGAGAAACAACGCAAGAGGCTTGGGTGTAGGGTGAGTCCAGGACCAGACTCATTGAATTGGCTTGATCAGTGAAACTTGACAAAGTGTTTGGAATTGTTATTTTTAAAGCAGTAAAAAGATGGTTTTCTTTTGTTTTTTTAGGAACTGTTTCCCCTACCTTATTGTACTAGTAAACTGAATTTTACTAAAATATTGATTGTTTCAGAGCATGCTCATTCAAGAAATGTTTATAGAAAACATTTGTGTTGAGAGTAAAATTAATGTTGGCTTGCTTCATTTTTCAAACTGTAAAATGTTGACAGATAATTTGGAAATCATTTTCAGGCCGTCGTGTACTGGGGTACGGGAAAGAACCGCTTCCAGCTGGAGGTACCAGAAAGCGCCCTCGCCCGCCACACACCCGAGGACTACGAGCTGCAGTCGGCCAAGAAGGGCTTCAAGCGGTACTGGACGCCGGAGTTGAAGGAGCTGTTTGCTGAACTAGTCGCCGAGGAGGAACGCAGGGACGTGGCGTTGCGGGACTCCATGAGGCGGGTGTTCTACGCCTTCGATGAACAGTGAGAAATAGTCTGTTCTTTTTAATTTGACATCAATCAAAGACAGGGGTGAGATTGGGGGATGGAAAGAAATCCATGAAAAATCTAAATGGGTTATAATGACAAAGTGAAATACATTTCAAGGATTTAATTGGTAACAAGGGATTGTCATAGATGGCTTTGATTATGTGAATCTTGCTCTTGGTTATTTGAAAGTAGAAATAGTTCAAGCTTTAAGCTTCAGCAGTTTTGGGGTCCAAATCCTGCCACCCGGCAAAATTCTGAGAAATCACACATGTAAGAATTATCCAAATGGCGAATTGTGTTGTTACGAGGACTCTTTATATTGCTTAGTGGTCTTTTTATTTAGGGACAGTTGAAATAAAAGCAAATGCAAAGCTTGTTTCATGGTTTCCACAAGCTGTAAATTCAGTGTCACTTTTGCTGTTCATGCAGCAAATTCACTCCACACTTAACTGTGCTCGAAATACTAAGGCACGATGTCAAAAAGATTTTAATTGACGCGCTCCAGCACGCCCCATGGCACCGCACAGCACCAAGGGTCGGCTTGCCCCGGCGGGCCAACCCTCAGCGCCGCAGACCTACTCAGGGATCCTGCATAACAAAGGGTACAAATTTGCATTTCACGGATGACTGCATTCCAGGTACTTGTTGGCAGATGTGGCGTGCCGACAGAATCGCAGAGACTCATCCGGTGTCGGCAATTTTCACTATTAAAGGCTTTCGCTTTCGTTGAAAAGGAAAAGCATTGGAATTTTGTCCAACAGGTTAAACAAAATCGTGGAGTTGTCACGATAGTCCACTTACAAGAAGGCTTTTAAGGTCAACAGTTGATACAGAGGGCCCTCACTCTCCAAACATTTTTCCGTTACTGTTTACTATTTCTGTATTCATAAAGGAGGCCTGCCCCCTGGCATCTGTGTACACTTTTTACTGCCCTCGGAATAATTTTCCCAGGCTCAATTTTCTTTGTAGCTTTAGAATGTTTTCTCACACTTAAAGAAACTCAGAATAGTTTTCCAGACTCGGAATATTTTCCAAAGACTCAGAATGTTATATCTCTGACCCAGGAATATTTAAAAAAAATTCTCTGCCCTCGGAATATTTTTTCCCGCCTCATGATAATTTTCCCTGCATCAGAACCTCCGTTTGAAACAACATCGGACTCTCAATATTGTCCACAAGACTCAGAGCTTTCACGGGACTCAGAATACTTTCTCAATACCCAGCATATTTTATCCCAGCACTCAAGAATATTTTACAGAGCTCAATACATGTACCTGTATATAGGGGATTCCATAAATGTGGGACCCAATGTGTGACACTTTTGGTGTCCCTTACACATGAAACAAATCTTGAAGATCGGTTGACACTACAACCGAAAGACACTTGGAAAAAGGAAAGTGGTAAAAATTACAAGCTTGTGTGCTGCCTAATGTACTGTTAAATGGACGAAATATTTCATTGAGTTGTTACAATATAAGGTGCGAACAAACTGATTGGTTTCATGTGTGAGGAGGACACCAAAAATGTCACAAGTTGGGTCCCAAATTTATGGAATTACCCATATTTTCTCCTCCCCTTTAATTTTTTCCCGGCCACAGATATTTTTCCCGGACTTAGAAAAATGTTTCACCAGACTCCCAATATTTTCTCAGGACTCGGAATATTTTACCTGGAGTTAAGGATATTTTTCTCCTAGATTCAAAATATTGGTTGCCGGACTCAATAATATTTAACTGGACTCAAATTAATTATCCCCCCCAAATTATCCCCGTTTTCAAATTATTATCCCAGACTCAAGAAAATATTCACAAGATTCAATATTTTCCGGGAGGATTAATATTTTTATTTATTTACAGGCTTGTTCTGTGGCCGAAATTGTTGATGGACATTGGCACGCCGCGGCGAGCCTTGTGTGAGAGAGGAATTTCCCTATTCTTGCTGCTCGTTAACATAACAATAGCGAAAGCACAATAGGGATAGTTAATGAGCCGGAGACTGGTTTGGGCGCCGCGCTGTGCCGCGTGTAGAGGGTGGACAGGTGACTTGGAAAAATGCACTGTGGGGTACCGCGGCAGCTCACGCCGCACCGATTAAAATCTTTTTGACTTCTTTTTAAAGAAGTATAGAAGTCTTTCATTAAGGATTTGACGATTTGTAGGATTAGGGGAAATACACACTAGCAACTTTAATAATAGGTGATACTATAAACCATAAACGTCCCTTGAAAGTTAAATTTCAGGTACAAAGAATGTGGATTTTGGACAGTGGAGGATTTCTTTAATTCAGGAAGGTACATGTACCTAGCAACAGTGTCAAGGGGTTTAGGATGGAGGGTTTCTAAACTGAGCCATATATAAGTCAAACGACTGAAAAATATGCACCCGTGTTTCATATTGGAGTGACCATTTGTTTATAGCTATGGCGACTGGGACCAAGCCATCCAGTGTCTGTCAGTCCTGGATGTCCTTCAAAGTCTGTCCAACGTCAGCCAGGCTGGTGACGGGCCAATGTGTCGTCCTGAGATCGTCCCACCAACTCCAAATATGCAGGTTAGGAATAACTGTTTTCCCATTTGTTCAATTTCTGGAAAGGTTCATTTAACTGTTCTGTGGAACATTTGCAAAAGGCAAATAACCTCTGATCATGTTAAAGGGTAGGTGCAATGGATTTTTCTTAGACACAATTTTCCTCAACTTTGTATCCGTCTTCAATGTATGAAAACTCTTTTACTTTCCTATTTGGTTAAATGCATTAAAAAGTGCATGTTTTTAAACCATTAAAATTATCCATGCTTTCTCAGACAACAGAGGGCACTATTGCTGTGAAGTCATCTAAGGAAGACATGTTCAGTGCATAGGTCTTTCTGTTCAAATTGTGAACCTGGAATTTTCCATCTGAAAACTAGCCTTGGTCAAGGCGTTTGTCATTTGTCGCAGCACAGCGCGCACCAGACGCTCGAAATCAAGGCGAAGAGCGACCTCACGCTGTCTAAGAAATATGCAAATCAGCTGAACCAGGACAAATGCCCTGGTGCAACCATCCGCTGAAGCTTATGTTTTTTTTTTACTTTTGTGCTAGATAGATTTCTAGCGCACGACCTCGTATACAAACATGAATAGATGCAGGCGTGCGATGAGTGGACATTGACCAATCTCAGCTAAGTACACATGCATAATGCATCAACATGAATTCGCATGCTTGATAACAATGTAAAATGGCGGACCTTCCGAGACGACTGCCGCATGACGAGTTGTCTTGTTGTTTGAATTCCGTTGCAGATAAATTAATGTTGGGTGAGTTTTGTGCCGAGCAGTGGCAAGCCTTATAATACTTCCTGCAGGTCATGATGTTTTCTTGAATTTGTCAACAGGCTACTGGAGATCTGTTATTTTTCAGGCTGCACCTTTCTGCCCGGAGCTCCTCAGACCAGATATAAAGCTCATAGCATTAGTCAAGTTGTGACAATTGTCATTTAATTTGTCAATGCAAAACTAGAGATCGCCAACTGTATTGCAACCAACCACTTATTTACATCGTTGGAATAAAATAAATCACAATCAGTATTAAAAGCAAAGGCGAACTCTATCTCCGATTACTCTGATCAGCCGGCCAAATTTATACTGTAGACTTGTCATGTACATGTACATTTATAGCCACATGTGCGTTCAGTTAACCTTTCACCCTATGACTGACTTGAATTATGCATTTACTAATGTGAACCAATCCAAAAGCCTATTTAAAACATTTGCTCTTGTCATTTTCATAATGAGCACTGCCCAATACAGCTTCAGCAGACGGTTGCACCAAGGCATTCGTCCTGGTTTAGCTGTTTTGCATATTTCTTAGACTAGGTAAGGTTGCTCTTTGCCTTGATTTCGAGCGGCTGGTGCATGCTGTGCTGTGCTGTGCTGCGCTGCACTGCGATGAATGACGGACACCTTGACAAAGGCTAACAGAAAACATTTCTGTGAGAGGGATTGATGCTTTCTCATTGCTATGCACATAAATAACAATGAATCATGAAAGAAGAGAAGTGAATCAAGAAAGAAGAGAAATGAATCAAGAAAGAAGAGAAATGAATCAAGAAAGAAGAGAAATGAATCATGAAAGAAGAGAAGTGAATCAAGAAAGAAGAGAAATGAATCAAGAAAGAAGAGAAATGAATCATGAAAGAAGAGAAGTGAATCAATAAAGAAGAGAAATGAATCAAGAAAGAGGAGAAATGAATCAAGAAAGAAGAGAAATAAATCAAGAAAGAAGAGAGATGAATCAAGAAAGGAGAGAAATGAATCAAGAAAGAAGAGAAATGAATCAAGAAAGAAGAGAAATGAATCAAGAAAGAGAAAACTGAGTCCAGGAAAATCTGCAAAAATGCAGGACTTTTTTGCGTACAAACCAATATAACATTGAGGCATCTTCCTGTGATGACATCACAGTTTTACTCATGAATATGGAATTTCTCATCAGCCTAAAAACCAAAAAGGCCCAACCAAAAAACAAATTGATTGCAGCTACCCTAAAATTGCTTTTAACAGACTGTCTTTGGAGCTGTTTTTACCAAGTCAATCTAAGGGCAAAACATAGTCTGACAGCATTATTAGGGAAATAAGTGTTTGTGACGTCTTTTTTTCTTGGTTCCAAACAAATGGCAACAGCATGCTACATGTGCATTATTATGTTATCAAGAGCATGCTCTGTATGATAAAAGGATGCTTGAAATGGTGATGTGTGCCTTGGTTTTTAGGTGTTAAGAAAAAGGTTTTTTATTTTTGTTTTTCCTCATGCAGCCTTTCATTGCCATTCAAAATGGACGTCATCCATGTATTAGTCACACATTCACTGGAGGTGATTTCATTCCAAATGACACATACATTGGAACTACTGATGTAAGTAACCAAGTTTCTCCAAATCTTTGCCTTTGATCTGTTCCAACTATAAGCAACGCTTGCCCCAAATAAGTTGATGTGTGTTTTTCCTGTTTTTCATGTAACATTTTTTTGATAGCCACACATTTCCAAAATTTAATTTTAATTGTGATCCTGTGTCACTATGGAGAATGCCATGGAAACCAACTCAGAGATGGGTACCAGTTGCTGCGTATTGGTCACCGGGCCCAACATGGGTGGAAAGTCAACCTTGATGAGGCAGGCTGGATTGATCATCATCATGGCTCAGCTTGGTTGCTATGTACCCGCCGAAGGGTGTCGACTGACGCCGGTGGATCGTGTGTTCACCCGGCTTGGTGCCAGGGATAACATACTTTCTGGTGAGTTGGGTTGGAATGGGTTCAGCTAGGTTCATCCGGGTTAGATGAAATGGGTTCAGCTGGGTTGCCTTGGGTTCATAAAGTCATCAGGTTCAGGGTGCTTATAGCTGGGTTTTATTGGGTTCATCTGGGTTGGGATAAATCCATAAGGGAGGGCTTGAATTCAGCTGATGCGGCAGTGATCGGTGCAACTGGGTTGGATTGGGATAGAATCTGTGTTATAGCTTCAGTTGGGGTGGGCTCAGCTGGGTTGTGATGGGTTGAGCTGAGTTGGGACGAGTATAACTAGGCTGGATGTGATGAGTTAGGCTGGGCGGATCTGGGTTCAGCTCAGGTGGGATGGGCTCAACTGGATTGGGATAGGATTGGTAAGGTTTTGTTTACAGCATTTATCAAAACCATTGTTCTTCAAGGGGAAAGTACTTTCTTTGTTGAACTGAGTGAGACATCGAGTATCCTCCAGCATGCCACAGCACACTCACTGGTCCTGATGGACGAGCTAGGTAACCATTTTCTATCAGTTATTTTTCTATTTCCTCCTTTAGGACTGTAGGTTTGTTTTAGTCTTGGTTTTTGACGTTTTTGACTGCCAGTTTGTGTCTGTAGTAATACATTTTTCCTCACTCCTGTAAGGATAATGAACAGTCTCTCATAATTGTTTTTTAAACCTTTCCCTCCTCAGGAAGGGGAACAGCCACCTATGATGGAACAGCCATTGCTAGCGCTGTCGTCAAGGAGCTGTCTGAGACCATCCAATGCCGCACACTCTTCTCAACTCACTATCACTCACTGGTTGAAGAGTTCGGTCACGACGCCAATATACAACTGGGCCATATGGTGAGGCTTTTGATTAGTTTTGTGAAATAAAAAATAAACAAATGAGAAAAAAAAACAGAGTGTTGAAAGATTGAAGGAAGAGATGTTGATTCAAAGATGGGACTAGCCACATTGCAAAAAAAGCAAAAAGCTTCCCTTCCTCCGCTTCACTCCAAATCCCGCCCAAAATATGCCCTTTTGTAAGGAGCACTCTTCAGACCACATGGCTTGTAAACGGTCCCGGCAAACTTTAGCACACCATTAGCATTCTACCTGTTTAGCAACTAATGGATTTCATACCAACCCTGTCTGTCTCTTCAATCCAGGCCTGCATGGTGGAGAATGAGAATGAAGATGATCCAAGCCAAGAGACCATCACATTCCTCTACAAGTTTGCCGCCGGAGCTTGCCCTAAGAGTTACGGATTCAACGCGGCCAAACTTGCCGATATACCAGATGAGGTAATAGCTGGTTTCCCTTTTGCTCCTAACACTGACACAGCATATTGGCTGCTCTGTATGCACAAAGTACCAGTGGAAGTCACGTATCATCTGGTGAAAATGCACCTTACTGTTTTTTGGTTTTTTTTTTCTAGATCGTTTTGGTTGCAAGGAAGAAGGCTCACGACTTTGAGAAGTCAGCTGACAGACTCAAGGCATTCAGAACTCTACAGAGACTGAGTCTGGGGCCAGACCTTGCCAGGAAATTGACAACCATGCAGCAGATGATCCGGTTGTAAAATAAGGGAAGAAAGGCGGCTTACTTAATGTTCAGGTTCTTATCTCTGGTGTAAGGATAGTACTTTAGTTGTAGGTTCATTGCAATGCCATGCACATTTAAACACAAGTCAAGTACTTATTTGTTGAGTCTTAGAATTTGTTCACACAGTGATACAGTCATGGATTCTGTACAGGAAATTGGAATGTGGTGGTTTGGGGGCCAGCTCATGCTATGTGTACATACTGCATGCTAGACGGTGAACTGCAGAGTTTACGAACGCTAGGGATTTTTCCCACAGTACTGCCTTTTAAATTTGCATTCTAGCTTACAAGGGCATTGCATCATGGTCATGATATGCCGTCTTTTGTTACATTATACAACACACTTTGCAATTTGGTGCAGATATGTGGCAAACGGGAACCCCCATTGTGTCTTTAGTGTTGATAGAGTCTGGAATTCCTTTCAGATTTCGGGGGGGGGTGAGTAGGCACAATAGCCTTTATAGCTTGTGCATCACACAGAGGGTCCCCTTTGCCACATATTGTGCTTGATATACACTTGTAAAATGTAAAATACAGTACCACGCACAAGTTTGCTTTTAGCTCTGCAAATTTATATTTAATTCACGTCATGAACTAGGTGCTTTGACCAAAAGAACTGGCAAGTTTCTTTTTGTCAATATTTGTGGGTTACGTACATTTGATTAGCTATGAAACAAAGTCTCTGAATTCTATGCAAGTGTTTCTTATTCATTAAACCTATTTTGTATTCTGTTGTTGATGTATTGAGATCATGACACATTCATCAATTTGAAAAATATTGTAATTTGTAAAGACCGTGTTTTAAGGTCAAAAGGTTTTACAACAGTTTGGGGGCAAGAAGAAAAGCAGTGCCTATATTCTTCCCTTCTTTTTCTCAAATTTAAAACTTTATTTTCATTTTGTAGAACTTAAACTTTCCAATTTAAAGCTGAACGAACATGACAATTTTCTACTTTGTTAATTTTATCATCCTCGAACTTTTGATAAAATAAAATTTGAAACTTCGTTAATTTTTTGTCTTGTTTTTCATAATGTTTCAGACTGTGTTTAGACGTTAAAATTCCAAAGCGTGTTCTTCAGACTTGATTAAAAATGTTCATATTCTGAATTTTTTGTGATGTGGGGTAAGAGCTGGAAAGAAGACTTCCATGTCAGTCTGGCCATTTTTCGGTTTACAAGATATAAAAAATGAATCAAGGCAGAAGTTTACTTCAATTCAAACATTTTTTAATAAATATTTGGTGAATTTCAAACAGTCTCCATCCCCTTGAAACATCAATAAAAATACAACTCGGCACTGCACTAAACAGGCTCCAATTTATATTTAAAACCTGCTGATTGCTTCAAAGAATAACAAAATTTGCCTTAACTATCTACAAAGATTGTCTATAGAGATGTGATTAGACCCAACAATGTCACTGTTCTTGAATCTTTTCAGTTTCAAGAATGAGCAATTCCTTGGCTGGTGGTCTGCCTGCATTTTTTGATGTTCTACATGAAAGGAAAAATTTAAGCTTTCAAAATTTCATCCACCATTCTCTGCCAACCTCTGACAGTTGAACCCAGGGCTTCGAATCATCACCTCTAATAAGCATTCAAATCCTATATGCTCATGCGGGAATGCCTTTATACAAAAACTGTTCCAACAATATCATTTTCAGTCTGCCACTTCTCGAAACCAGTGCAAAAATGTAACTTTAGTTAATAAATGATGCCTGTTTTGCCTCTTGTAGAATGGTAAAATGACATCCTGGGTTTCCTAAACTTATATCACAGTGAACTATTTCATATATTTCAAGTTTCAATGTTTGTAATTTAAGATCGATTTCATTCAAGTTTTCATTTTACATGGTATTGTCCCAAAATATTAGACTAGCACCAAGTCCACCTAACCAGTGCCAATTTCTCATTCTTGAAATACATCAACCAAAGTTTTTTTAAAATAAGAATGTATATCAAGTACTTTTTTTTACAAAATAATTTCAACTTAAGGGTTCTCTTAAAGTTTTCAACAGCTCCATGACACACTGAGTACCACAGATACATACATAAAAATCTCATAAAAGTTCTGAATTCAATATAATTTCTGTATGCCTCAAATAATCTTTCAAAGTTGTGCAATATATATAATTTGATTATGAATAATTTCAGTGAAAGGGTTTAGTACATGCATTGATTTAATTTGAGTACTCTTAAAAATAACTGTACTGAGAAAGGCATTTAAAATTCACAGAAAGAACTAATTCTCAACAATTTTATCAGAAACATTAAAAAATTTGTTCAGAGGATGATGCTTCTATTTGCAATGTCTTCTTCACAACACAGACCTAAATGGTCCGAGCAAGATCTACTGAGGGCACTACTTGAGAGTCCTCACTTTTAAAGTGAGGACACTAATGATATGTAGCAAAGTCAAGTATGTGTATCAACTGTGACCAGCACACCTGACCAGAAACATTGATCCTTAACAACACGTCTGAAGCTGATATCTTCCCTGGACTGAAATGACCTCCTTTGGCCAGTACCAGACCATGAAAAGCCCAGACCCAAGACAGCTGCATGACAGTTTCAGATGAAAACACACCTGTGTACTGATGATGGCACACTGTAAGTGCCCACGCTGTCTCCATAGGAAACAGTACATGAAAAGCAAAGTGTACATAGGCCTCTTGCACGTTGCATCATCTACTCAACAGCACTGTGTACATTTACAGATTCTGAAATTAACAATGGCAGTACTTTCGCACAGGGCAGCCCAAAAATGAATGCAAACTTGTTATAATTAAATCAGGATCAAACACATAATCACACAGTCTAATTCAGTTACCAATGAGGCCTGATTGGTTAACAGTTACATATACATGTACATGTATTTGATGAAATGAAAAGTATATGGCATTTTGTAAAACTTGCTGAATGGGAATGTAAGAGACTGTATATCTTATCCACACTTCTATTTTGGAGGGAAAAAAAAGGTTTGTTTTCCCTGGTGGAATTTTTTGAGTAAGCTCAAGTGCTGTGTCAGGCAAGTTGCACAATAAAAGGTTACTGAAAGTTACACAAGAAAGGACTCAAATTCAGCCATTTTACCAGTGTTCTTTCCACTAGAAACTGTTGGAGTTCATGTGCCCCTTCATTTCAGTAACATTGTAATATGACCATGATTTCCCAGCATAAGAAATCGTGGGTACAGAACTGCAGTGGTTCAGAAATGAGCTACTAAATATTGTGAAGTCCATGCTGAAAAATTAGGCGTGCAAAAGAGCATATTTGATGGTTAGCGTGGAGCCATTTTGAAACTGAACATCGAGTCTTCTTTTAGCAGTGATACAAGAGATACTGAGCAGATATTTTACGCAAAACTTTGTTTTATTCGAAGCTACCATGTGTAATGCTATTGACAGCTACATTTCTCACAGCATGTGGGGAGAGAGGGCTACTGATGTGGAGTGCCCCGATTGGACAGTTTGTGTTGTGATAACTTCTATACATGCTGTGATTGGTTGCCATTCAGCTCATGGGAGCGGTCTGAGTCAAAGCTGGCAGACAAGAACAAAACATCCAAACCTAATCTTTGGAGCCACAAAACTTATTTGAAAGTTACGACGAAATTGCATTGAGCAACCATCCACTCAAGCTTTAAGCAGCAACTTGCCAACTTTAAAAGGAAACCTACAAATGCCTCCCAGATACAAGAATTAAATTATTGAAACAAACAACTACCGGTAAGTACAGGCCTAAAGTATATCTAGCTGCTTACATACTGGGCTGCACAACTGGTATCCAAATCAAAGTACAAGAGTTTGTTTCACACTTGCTTTCACTGTGTGACAGGAATTATGCCAAAAGAAATTTTTAAAAACTTGGCACAATGAAATACAGAACTTTTTCAAAGTAAAATATTTCCCTTCACCAAACTGAATCTCGCCCAAAAATTAATCACATGCACCAATCGCCTGTTTCTTTTCATAAAATTCTCCTAGCGATACAAAATGGTACAATGTGGGCACCACCATTTTGTATTACATGTACATGTAAAAGTTCTGTATGTACAATTCATATTTACAAAGCTTCCTTTTTTGTACAGATCAAATCAGTCAACAGTTTCACACGTGCATATAAACTGGAATTTTCCTCAAGATTTTTATTTTTTACACTCGAACTAAAAAGGAAATTATTTTGTCATTTTTGGTGTATAATGGAGAAAGACGGCATGAATTAAAAAAAAAAATCAGCATCAAAACGTGGATTCCAAAGCAGCTAGGCTGTCTGGCTCCCTAACTCTAAGAGAAAATGCAGTCACATGTGGCACGGGCATCTTGACTATACACATCACAGCTCGTTGTAAAGCCGGGCCTAAATTTCACAGAGCTGCTCAGTGGGAAAATTTTTTTATGTGCTAAGCAAAAATCACCCGGGAACCAGTCACCAAGAATATGAAATGCATGCCTCTCTGGCTGGATACCAGCTGTTAAAAGTTGAACTTCATTAAGGAGAGGTCCTTCAGACTTTTCAGATTACCTTGTTACATCAGGAATCTTGTATTGTCAGGAATGAAAACAATGAAAAAGACCAAAACACTTCCTTGTTTTAACCCTAACACTCCTCAGTCCCCCAACAGGTGAAGGATTGAGGAGTGTTAGGGTTAAGCAAGATGTACTAACAGTGCTCTTATTGACAAGGTTTGACTGTATTATCTGTGGTTAGCATTCTTCTGTGCCAAACAGCTGCAAGAGATTGGTGACTGTGACCTTTCCCCCCTTTTTTCATTGCATTAAAATCGGGACAACTGGCTTTTCAATTTTGGCCTCTCCTTGCGTATTGATCTTTACCACTTTGGAATACAGGTAGCAGAGAAATGCACACAGTACAAGTCAGACTTGATTGCAGTGATGCTGTTGAATATTGCCAACAACTGTGTGGGTGGATCTTTAAAGGACCACACTTTTGTATGTCACATTGAGGAAAGGAAAAACTGAAGTGTATCTAAAGCAGTGAAAGAAAGGGCTGCAACAAAAATTTTGCTTTATGATAGCAAAGTCAAATTTTAAAAGCGTTAATCTTAAACAGTCCATGAAAATGCTTCTCATTTAAGTGTATGTACAAATATACTGTATATGGCTTTACAATTATCCTTTATAAGCCAAACAGAATCACCTTTTTTAAAAAATAAGTTATTACTGGCAGCAGACAGATTTGAAAGTAGTGGCGGTGGAAGTGGAGGTCAGGTGGCCAGTACCCCCCTCCCTACTTTTTCGACTGGGGGACTTGGCCCCCATTTTTGGCAGATCCTGTAATGGGATGGGGCTTAATGATCGGCTTATTAATTGCTGATGCTTGATGGTATCATTGGACCCCTCCCTCTTTGAACATTATTCTGCAGTTTGAAAATATGAAAAACTACATGAAACAAATTCACTTGTGAGAGTATTTGAATATCATTTGAGCAATGCCACCAGAATTATACTCAGATGGAGACTTACTGATAAACTGGAGGCGTTGCCCAAATATGACATAAGATCATTCTGAGAAATGCTGTTTAGTTCTGGCAAGTTCCAACCAGTTCTAGCAGGTTCTATGATATGGTTCTAGACAGTTTCTGATCCATTAAGGAAAATAGTACTACAGGTACTGTATTTTCACAAGCATGCTTGCAACTTCAGAGCTGGACAGAACCAGTTCAGACCAGCTAGATCTTGTGAGAACCGGTTTGGGATTCACCCCTCAGCTTTTTACCACTTTGTTCCCGTTTGGTGCTCTCCGGCTGCCTTGGTGCCTAGCATCTCCTGCCCCTCTCTCACCCACTCTGCCCTTGGTGGTGTTGGTCTTCTTTTCGATGCTGACTTTTCTCTTTGACGGGGGCTGCGTCCTGTCAACAGGGGCCACTGTTGTGATGGCCGGAGAGGATGCACTATGGGCCACAGAAGGGGAAAGGCGGTCTGGTCTGACAAAGATGCCATGCTTGGGTCGGCAGGTGAAATAGCGGACACCTTGGACACAGCCATTGTGTTTACCTAGTTGGGGGAAACCAACAAACACATTTTTCAAAAAAAGGGGATTCAACAAAACAAGAGCCAGCTTGGTGGACTTGAGAACACATTCACTCGAAAATATTTTGGAGACTGAGGTTTAAAGGCATGACATATTTTTGTAACTCTTTTAACAATCTGTTCCCTGGCATTCATGATTCTCAGAGGGCCAGGATTTCATCCACTTCAAATTAAAACAAAGCTGGCTGATAGTACCATTATCATCTTTCCCCCTCCCTATCAAACTTACCAACAGCAGAGTCCAAAGCCACTCCAATCCAAATGCCAGGACGGAAGGCTGTATTTCCGGCAAACTTGACCACTCCGCTTCTCGTCCCCCCGACGTCGACTCGCCCACCGATGCTCAGCCAGGAGGGTGTCTCATTACCCATGCTCTTGTAGGAGCCTTCCTGGCGGCTGTCATATGATCCGTAGCTGAAGGTGTCATCCAGGTCACTGGCAGATGTTCCCGTCAGGCAGTCACTGTCCGTCAAGGAGAGCTGAGACAAGGTGTCCTCGTCCTGGGAATGGGATGACTCTCGGACAGGGTCAGGAGACGGGAGCAGCTCCTGAGAGGCGGCAGGAGTATCTTGAGATGATTGAAGGCCATCCCATGACAACATCATGTTATTGTTGTCTGTGTCTTGGAGCAAGAGCTCCGGTGGACGGTCAAGGGCTGTGAGAGCAGCTGACTCCGGGCAATCCTGCTTCCGCACTGACTGGTGGTGGATAGGAATTGGTTTGGTGCTGGTCACCTCCTGAAGTTTCACCTCAAACTGAACTTTAACAGCTTCTATCACTTGGCCTGAGGCCAAAGACTGGCTGGCAGAACTTCTATCTAAAGTACTACCTGTTATTAAGTCCTTGGGTTCCACAACTTGTGTCTCAAGTCTACCTGATTCTCTAGTTTTGGCAAGAATGTCTGTTTTATCTAAGAGCATCTGATCACTTGGTGACAGTAAGGGGTGAACCCAACAGGCCTTTGGAGAGGACAAGTGACGCTGAAACTTGGTGCCTGAATCTCCCGGTTGTCTTGAAGATGTATGATTTTTTGTTTGAATGCTACTTGAAATTTCATCGGGGGTCACTGAAACTTCCAAGGCCTGATTTGCAGCATTTCTCCCAGATTTCTTTTTAACTACTTTTTGTGCCAAGATGCCATCCTCTGAATTTGGTTCAGATTCAAGATACTCTGCACTTCCATCTTGGTTTTTAGGAGTTTCATTCACACACAAATTTGATGAGTTCTCAGTGAAGTTAGAGACTCTAGGGTTTTTTTCTGAAGAGCTTGGAGAGCCATTCTCTTTCCTTGGTGCTTCAAGCTCCTCAAATACAGCCCATTCATTATCAAAATTCTCTAAATCGTGTTGGAACAAGCTATGAAGAGACTTATGCAACTCTTGCTCCTGTGGTGAGAACAAGGACATTTCAAGGTCTTCAGAAACTGTTCTCTTGAAAGACTTACTCTCTGAATTCAACTTGGCTCCTTGTAAACATTCTGAGGCTTCAGTGCGGTATGGCTGAAAAATAGCACGTGAGTAGGCTGGAGTTGGTTGCAGAAGTGGTACTGCCTTGTCGAAGTTGGCGGCAGAGCCATCTGGAGGTCTACTGTGAAGCTCTGGTTCAGCAGAGCCTCCAACATTAAGGTTGATAAATACTGAGTCTTCCTTCTGATTCTTAGAATTATCTTCAGAATCTTGGAGAGACTGATGCCCTTGTATGCTCGATTTGGCAGAGCAAGTAGATGACAGTGGATCTCCTGATACTGATGATGACGAGATTTTCCTGCATAAGGTTGGATGGTCTTCAAGGGAATCAAGACGTACTACTCCTAAAGGATCAAAAACAGGCAAAGCCTCAGACTGGGAATCAGCTTGTTTAGATTTCAAGGCTGATAAGGATTCACTGTCTTTTGTAGTTTCTGCAACAATCACTTCCAAATCTTGGGATGAAGAATCAACAGCTTTACCAAAGTCAATGAGGAAATCTAAAGGATCATCTGCCCTTGGTGAAAAGATGTCACTCCTCTTAAACATCTTTTGCGGGGTGGATGTCTGATAGCTTTTAGTTTGTTCTCTAGAAGACCCATCCAACCTCAATCTACTTGATGATCCATCACTGTTCCTTGAATCCTGCCTGCTGACTCTCACTGGCTCATCACCAATGGTGAAAGTCCTTGGATTGGAGATCTCAGAGGAGTCCTCGAAGGACATCCTGAAGATGGCATCTCCAACCTCGGCCATGTCCCGATGATCGCTTGGGAGGAGAAGAGGCAGGGAATGATGCTGGTGGGGCTGCTGCTGAGAGGAAGACTTGGAGTGAAGCTGGGTGGAGTTGCCATGGTAACAAAGACTATCAACTAGGTCCGGCTGGAGAAAATTTTTGTAAAAATTAAAGATACCTCTCCAGAATACCCCAATAAACTACAAGGTCTCACAACTACATGTACGTGCCATTAGTGATCAACGCGTTTTTGTTTGTTGCTAACCACACCCAAGCTTCATTATGTTTCTACATCAGTTTATATGACCACAAACTCAAAAGTATTACTGCTTCCAAAAAAGAAGTACACAAATCACCATCTTTGGCAATACAGCATTTTGCAACATCCTGCATGAAGCGTTCCAATATTTAAAAACAAAAAAATTCTTCAAAAGCCACCAAAAAAGGAAGACAAAAAGTTCTAACAAAGTTCACGACATACCATGGACACACACAGAGGGCTAGATGCTACATGTACAAGCTGCGGCGTGCCTGGTTGTGATATGTGGTCAAAAGAACTGAATGTTAGTACTAAAGGAACAGAACTGGGGGGTTAGCATTGAACCGCAAAGGCAATAAATATCAACAAGGTGACACAGCAATTTACACCAGTGCAGAAAGGGATCCAAGCAAGTGCAAAACAGATCATATAACCACGCTCCAAAAGGAACAGAATTAGATTTTGGAAAATTTCAAAACAGAATCATTAATTTTGCCAAAATGATTTCCCCTTCACTGATTTTTTTTTTGTAAATGTGTTAATTTCCTGAAATGACTTTTTTACCAAAGCAAGGTTAAGGGTCACTTCTCAAGTTCAAAGATAAGGAGGGAGAAAAAAAAACTGCTTCCAAATTTCAAACATTTTCGCCAGCAAATGCCCACTTTTCTAGCATTTCCCTCACCCATGATTAACTTGCTTTCCAGGCTGGCTTCAAAAATCCAATAAACATTCATTCTAACTCTGGGAAAAAAATTAATTACTGCAACATTTAAACAACATTCCACAATATACAGCCATTTACAAGCAATAACACATGTGAACACCAAACGACAAAACTCTTGTTAGATATACACGTCTAAAATTTGATCAAAATGATTACGACTTTTGGGAGTAACATGCCAGTATTCGGCACATAACCTACCTTGCGTTTACTGGCAGCGTCAAGCTCTCTGCTCTGCTCTTCACGAACAGGTCGCAGGGATTTGACCCCTTTGGAATAGGTCACAGGTCGCAGCCCCACAGGACTGCTGAGGTAGACGTGGGGCGACAACCCGGGGCTGTGCGTGGGACTCATGCTGACAAACTGGTGATGCTGTGGGCTACTGCTGTAAGGGCTACTACCATAGGGGTACACCCCGTAGACGTCCGGCTGGTAGGCGGAGCCAGAGATGATGTAGGTGTTCTGGTCCGTCAGGAGGAGGGAACGGGGCCGAGCAGGCTTCGCTGCCAAGTAGGGGATCGGACCGCCCAAGGAGCCGGGGGAAGGGTTGGGGCTGAGGTTACGTAGACTCTCCGAACGGATCAACTGCGTGAAGGGAAACGGGGAATGGCAGGGAGGGGGGATTTGGTCGGTTGTTAAGGATTATTAATAAAAGAATCCATACGGGGGAATCTGTTGGATGCACACATGCAATGTGGTGCAAGTACACGTGGGGTACAATGAGTCAACAAGTAATTCAATCATCACACATTTCCAAATAATATAAAAAAAGAACAAAATCATTCCATTCATTGTCAGGCAAATCACAAGTCATGACAATAATTATGGACAATTTTTGTCAATACAATAACAATACAAGAAATATACACAAAATGATCCACATAAAATACAGCCAACGCAAGGGAGCAAAAGCGAAATGAAATCAAATGCACATCAAGAAATAAAGAGGTGATTCAAGTGTGTTTCCATGGTGACAGGAGGGCAGTTTTTTTATTCCAAATGTTGGGATTGATTGCAAGAGAGAAGATAAAAAAGAAAGAGAAGAGGTGGAAAAGACTGAGATTAGTTTTGACGAGCGGGCAATCTTGACTACTAAGGGGATTAGATTTGACGTACTAGTTGCCATTTCTGCCTCCCAGTTTTGGGTACATGTTTCTTTAAACTACAAGTTTTTTGAATTGAAAATTTCTCCAGGTGTTGTAGCAAAGCATTGTACTATGACTTTAAGAAGCTAACTTCAAAAACACAGGACAAAAATCCCTTCTGCCAGCCATTTTCCTTCATTTTATCATTTCTAAGTTCAAACAATTTGAATAACTGGATGCAATTATCACAGGGACAGATGTATTGAAAAGTTTATTCATATGCTTGAAATACTCTTTACAAAACTGACTTGAAAAAGATATTCACCCCTGTCAAAAATTCCCAATGCCCGACAAAAAAAGTCCACAAATTGCAGTATTTCTGTTCACAGTAGAATAAATGCAAAAAAGGAATAATAAAACACTTGCAATAGAAATATCAGTCAAGAGTTATTCAGTGAGACTACGACTGAGGTTCAATCTCCGAAGTGAGGTAAACCGACCACAGGATGCGGGGAGGAAGTGAGCAAGAGAGAAGAGGAATGAGGGATGATTCTGATTAGATTATTGATTAGTATTAATGGAATTATGGGGGAATAGAGAAGAAAGGACAAAAAGAGACTGTGTTAAGTCTCTGTGTTAATAGCAGCTGGTGTCAGCCATGATATTTTCTACAGTTAATTTTTCTTTTGTGTTTGAATTATTGGTGAACTTTTCTTTGTTAAAGTTACGGTTTCTTGAGTTAAAGTGACATCCAGAATAAGCAGAGATCTACCGTCAAATATTCAAGGAATAAAAGTTATTGCTGATGAAATGAGGATCTGACGTACCAAATTGTGGAAAAGTTGTGGATGTGCATATTTTGGATTAAAGATACTTATCAAATCTAAGTACCAGCTTATTAATAATTTGCAAATGTTGTCAACATTTGATGGAAAATACGGACTGATGTAGTGTCAAGGTTTGCAATTCATGATTTTCAAGTGATTGATTGTGATTTACAAAAGCCACAGACGTCGGCCATCCAATTCTAATTCTACATTTTGGGGGAAATTTGGCACAAGGAATCTCACTGGCTGTGACATCACAAGAATGCTTGGCAATGTGAGTGCAAAATACTGTGAACAAATGCTTTCTAAAGTCTACGACTTGGTTCACACCCCACTGCGACACTTGCACCAACAGAGGTGAGGGGAAAACGGTTTGTCACGGTCACAGATCATGCATCAAAGCCTACTCAGGAAAAGGAATTGGCTAAAAAACAGGGAGGGTTTTTACTCTTTGGCGAGTCATAAGGCTCATTTCTGGTATAAATAGGCTCAAGGGATACATGTAGAAAGTTTAGCAAAACTGAAACTTCTGTCAAATCAGAGTGCAAAGATGTCCACAGATCCTTCAAATACATGTATGTTCTGTCTTTTTCACAGCAATGCTGGGAATAATTTTTGTGCTTAGAAGTATTTCTTGCGCCAAAACCTAGAATCAGCTTATATTTTAATAATCTTATGTTGCTGGTGGTTATTTCTTTCATTAGAAATATTTCTGTGACGTGGCTAGGGATATTGGAGTAAAGACAAAAATGACATGAAAAGTAAAAGTTCAGGATTACTCACCCTAAAATCATCATCAAGCGCATCCATGGATCTACTGGTGTCAATGGAACGGGACATTGCACCCTGAATAAAGGAAACATTGATGAAAGCCAAATTATTACTTTCTTTGTAAGTTTATCAGTAGCTCCATTGCTACGGAAGTCCATTTGGGGAGACACAAAGGAGTGAAAACGCACAGAAACATGTAATGACAGGCTTTTCCTGACTTTCCAGAACCTTCTATGAACTTCAAAACGCTTCAAAGGAATATGTACAAATTCCTAGCTTTTCCAAGACTTCCACAAACTTCCTCAACACTGCAGCAAGATCATGTACAGAATTCTAAACCATGTGAATTTCCAGCTGCTTCCATGAACTTTCAGAACCTTCCATATTAACAAGTTCAAAATTTCAGGGCTTTCCCAGACATTCAGAAATTCCAGAACCCCACACTTACTGGTATATTGGGCACGCTGGCTGTCTTCCTAAGATTCCTGCCCCTGGATGCCAGCTTCTCCTTGATTACCACCTCCTGTCTGAGCCTGTCAAGTGCCAGGATGCTTTCCACTGCTGACACGCCCCGCGTGTACTTCTCAATGTACGTCTCGCCGTCCGAGGACGTCGTATTCTCCTCTGTCCCGGAACCGGCCATCAGGGCCAGTGATTCCCTGTCCTCCGGGTCCTCTGATGCCTGGATAAAAAATCTCTCTTTACTGGGTAGTCCCTTTCCTCTTCTCCATTATAAAGGACTTTGTGGAATTGTGGAACCCACATCTTATTGATGAAACAGTAATTCTGAACCTGTGTTGTTGTTGATTTCAATCGACTACTTTGCACTGTACCGGTCTATGTAAGAATGTACACTAACAAACAAGCACACACACACAAAATTGAAACGTTTTGAGTAGTGAGTGTGCAACTGTGAGTATTCAGTGATCCGTATGGGTACAAGAATCGATATAATGCAAATACTCACACATGACTATTGCTGAAAAAAACTGCTTTGAGAACATCAGCCATTTTCAGTGTGGGATACAATTACCTACAACTGTTTCCTCACGCTTGAACTGCTTAAGAAAGTTTGAGTTTCTGTTGCTTTATTTAGTCTTACCTTTGGAATGTTTGAGACAATTTCGTAAGTTACACCACAGGACTGGACTGAATCCTGGAAGTGAACAATCACAACAAAAACAGTAAGAACTAGTTGTACAAAAATTTACAAATGTAAAATCTACAAATAATTCATAAGATCCTGAATATTCATAAATAATTCATTAACCCAGATTACTGCTCATGGAAAACTTTTCAATTATTTCAAGTACATTCGTGAGAAAAGTCAGTGATTTTAGGACCAAGCTATTCGAAAATACATTTTGCATACAATCTCACTATCCTAAGCACACTCATGAAGAATTTACAAACCAACAACCTATGACCATGCAGAAGAGATTGTAAAAACTTTGCTATCTCATGCATATTAATGAGGAACATAAAAAAGAGCTGCAAGCTGCGATGAGACGGGGCTTACCATCCTGCCCATCTTCTTCTTGATGGTGGAGGTGATACCCTGCTTCTTGTAGATGTTAACGCAGATGCGTTTTCGGAGCACCAGCTCCATTGTTGCCGGGTGGCTGAGCTGCACCACTGCCTTGACAATCAGGTAGATCCGCTCATTGGGGCTTGTCACACGGTTGAGGTGAGGCGAGTCATGGATGGAAGAATCCCAGGATGCAACGGCACATACCTGTGAGGGAATCGACATCAAGAAATGTGACTGGGTCAAAGAATAAACTATGATTTACTTCAACGGCGACAATGACCAAGGAAACAAATATTGATAAATCTTACATTATAATATTCAAAAACAGCTAATAATGCTGTACGTTTCATTGCTTTATATGTTTGACATTTGAAATTCCCGAGGCAAAAACTTTTTACCAGCGTTCTAGCCAGGATGAAATTAAAGGATAGGGGCATCTGCCCGACGTACCGGATACAGCAGGGGCAGGGGAGGTGGCTGGATATTATTTGACACCCGAGGGCGCTGTTTAACATTTATTACGTTAAATATAACAACTTTGTTTTAACCACTTCCTACCGGGGAGCCCGGTTTCAGCCACTGTGTGTTTATACGCGTGTCCAGGGTCTCCGAAATCGGACAAAGGGAACTGGGCCTTGTAACAAAAGACCGCTCTCGATACAAAAGAACAGGCTGCTGGGCATTACCGACATTTTTTCACTCTCAATAGTAGAGAAAATCCAGCCTTGTTTTGAAACAGTATACCATGGTTTGGGGCATTTAGTGTGAGTGGATTACCACCAAGGACAAAAGCGCTCCACCACCGCAGCGATAAGCCACAAAACACTACTGCATTCTAATCTTGCCCCTATTGAAAAGAGGTCAGCAGTGCAATGTGCCAGGTTCGTGAACAAAAGAAAGTTACATAACACCGCACAATCTGGGCTCTTTTTACAAGGCTGCAGGCCTGGCTGAAATACTCGGGCGTCAATGGATTTTGTCTGTCAGACTAGAGTGGCCACCAGACAGTAATTCATTTGGGTGTAAACGTCTATTAATTGAAAGGATGAATTTTGGAAGAATTTTGAAAACTTGAAAAAGTCCCAATTATATGCACTGCATTTTTTAAACCACCGGCAGCAAGCAGTTAAGCTCGCATTACCCCATTCTGTGTCATTCAGTCATTGTAAAAAGCAAAATTGTCAGTTTTACACCGACTTCTACTCTTTTCTCTACTTTTTTTAGAATGGGGATGGGGGCTTCGCTTTGTGGTTTTGTTGTGCTGTTGCTAAGGAAAGGGGCAAATGTCTTATAAACTATGGGATATCTGATCCACATTTCATTACTGCACAATTGTATTTTACATGTGCTTGTTCTGGTTTAAAAAGCTCCATGGTACGAAATTGTTTTAATGTGCATCAATGAAAAAAATCTGCTTAATAGGCCTACACCTCTGTTTCATTTTCTTTTTGAAAAACTTCAATCTGAATAATTTCTCGGGGTTTTAAATCAACATGTATGATTATTCTTAACTTATTATTAACTTAATTCAACCAGGCCGTTACCATTGTTTGTACCCTCTTGCAAGGTTGTAAAACTTTTGTCAACAAGAATATAAATCACATGATCATTCCAAACTTGTTTTCATTATCACAAGGTTAGATGTTTTTTCCCAAAAATAATGAAAAGTTTGGTCACAAATAACGAACATACACGACCAAAAAATAAATGAGAACGATCAATGATACCGAAATTATGAAGGCAAATGCTCTGTTCAAGCACCTTCCTCCATGGTTCAAGATATGAAAACACAAGACTGTGCATGGATATGGGCTGCCATGTGGTACAGTACTATGCATGCACCAGCCACTGACACCAATGTGTGTGTGCCACGGTCTTACCAAAAAACGTCCGCATGAACCACGACAAAGTACATGTACATCAAAATAACCATAAATTTAGAAGAAACTACAGAGAAAGGAAGACTAAGTTTTGTGGCAAGTTAGTTGTAGCTTATTTCGATTAGTTTTCGAGTTGAAAGGTTTGGGCATGGTTCAGGCAACTACTATGCTGCCAGCCATCGCGGCTGTGCACAATATCCGGAGCTGTATTCCGGCTCCAGACCCGTCTTATCTTGTATTACATGTACCTTGTCAGCGACACGGCAGGAACCAGTATTGTGCATGCCACGCGTACGTGATGTCTCCACAGAGCTGTGAAAACTTGTGTGTACCTACACATAGCTACATGCACATGCCGTGCTGAGGAAGATTTGTTTGATTTCGGTGCATTTTAACAATATTCTGGTGACTTTTCGTCGGTGTTTTTAAAGAAATTTTTGCAAATCTCTGATTATAAATCTTCTTAAACTTAATATCAGCAACTCTTCCCCCGGAAAATAGAAGCGTATCAGGGGATTTTAAGCGTGTCAGGGTTATCTGATCAGCGTATCGGCCCGATATTCTTTTGAATGCCTAGCTAGAATGCTGCTGTTTACCAAGAAATGAAAAATGATGGACTGTGTGTCAAACGGGTCTTCTCCAAATCTCATCTCCCACTGACATTTGCTGACTTTCCATTTTGCTGTGCTGAAAAAAAGTCCCTCAAGAGAAGGCTGAGGAAATTGGAAATGAAAAAGTTTGAATAATGGACTTACATCTTTTTCACAGTACTTGACGATAGGAAGGTTGAACATTTTATTCCCGTGTTCTTTGGGTAAGATGGAGTTGTAGCCAGCTGCATTCATGCCTTCCAGTCCGCCGGATGTGCCCATGTCATCCGCTGAAAACAAACAATGTTGTTAATGTAGGAAAGTGGGTTTCAGAAGTCAGTATTATTATGTGGCACAGTGCCCAACTTCTTCTGAATGTCTAACAGACACCTGTGAAGACATTGTGGTGAGTCTGTGAAGTCCGCCTTTCAAGTGTGGACACCACACACTGACTATCTTGTGAACTGAACATCACCACAAAAACTAACTTGCCACTCAGAAATAGCATCTCTATAATTTCTTTACATTTTCATTCCATTGTGTCACCGTGTCTGCCCCTGTTGGATGACTATTTAGATCATAGTGTGTTGCTATGACCATGTCCAAACATTCGCACTTCGTTTGGCGGGTTCATTTCTGAGAATTGGAGTTCAGAGATCAGGGTTTTAGACATTTAGGCCTTGGAATTAAGTAAATTTGTTCTTGAATCAGTTCATTCAAACTCATAATTAAAACTAAAAGTTTATCTGAAATAACAATAGTTGTAACATCCTTGGAACAAATACATTTGGACTCCTTCTTTTACTCCATCTCTTTGTCTTTGTTGCCTTGGCATCCATGGACCAATAATTTAAGCACACTTCCCTGAAGGCCTACTGCTAAATTAATATTACAAAAACTAAGAAAAATAATGTTGAATCCATCATTTTACATTTCTAACCAGACAGCTGGACAGATATAATTTTCATTAAAGATCTTTAGTAAACTATTCACATTATGTCTAATGTCTTTTTAAATTCTTCATGAAATGAGGAATTGTGTGCCAAAGGTTTGAAAAATACAACAGATCACATGCCCATGAATAAGACATGTTTCAATGAATGTATACCGGTACGTCCAATAATGATAACTGCAAGATTACAGTTACTTTTTGGCCTTCTTCCTCTGTTTTCCCCTATTTTGAATGATCTTACCTTGGAGATCCAAGAACAAAACTGGTATATGGGTCTCCATGCCGACCGGCGGCTTCCAGTTGGCAGGCGCACCCGGTATTCCACTCCCCGGTGCCGGCACCAAGACTGCATTCCTCTCTTCTGTCAGAGACACCCATTGGTTGATCAGGCTGGCCTCCCTTTCATAGTCCTTCTGTGTCTTACCTGTTTGAGAACAGTTTCACTGTTGTTACAACTTGTGATCTTGATAATATGGTGTATTTAATAGTGCAGTTCAACACCAACAGACTTTTATTTTTTCTCTTCGTCAGGCCTACATTCTTACAGCTGTCTCAGCTTCCCGGGGAGCATACGACTCAAACACAGCCATTTCGGGTGCAAACCGATAAACAAACACAGTGACCAGACATGCAACTTTAACATCGACAAAAATGAGGCCATTCCAATCTTTACAAGACTTTGTACAGTGTTTTATAATTTTCAGTGGCATGAGTGGGAAGTGGAAAACGAGGAAAAGTTGCATGCCTACATTTACATGTATTCCTCTTGGGTAAAGAGAGACAAGAAGGGATAAAGTGGCTTGCCTAAGGATGCAACTTGTAACTAGCTTCTGAATTCAAACCTGTGACCCTATGATCAGCAGTTCCCAACACTAACCACTGAGCCACATCCCTCCATGCTCTTTTGAAGCCGTGATATTGAGAATCCCAATGGTACCCAAAAGGTCAAGACAACAGTGGGAAATGTTGGTTGCCAGGCACTCAACCTACCCTGCTTGTCCATAATCCGCTTGATCTGGTCATCAAGGTACTCGTGCCGCCGCTTCAGCGCATTAGACCATCGCGTCCGCAACCGGTTCAGATCGTCGTCCTGGTAGCTGTCCAATCCTTTCTGGAGTTTTGACCGTGCACAGATGCTGCCGACAGTGACTGAAGTGATTGCTTCGCAAATAATGGGCAAGGTGCCTGAATTTTGGACAGGTTTTACCCGTATTAGGATTCGCCTTGAGTGCCCCTAGGATGAGCGAAAAGAAAGACCAAAAACAAAATTTCAGTGTTGTTATCAAGCACTTCACTTGTGCTTTTTTTCACTAGACAGTTGACAACATTTGTCACAAATACACGACTAACAGACGGAGTGTAACAGCAAATGTCTTTGGTATAGTTCATGTGAAAATCTTTTGTCTTAAATTGAGGTTAAAGTGCTTGTGTAATACATGAAGTACTAGTGTGTGAGTTCCAGCTGAGTGTGAGTTAAGTACCTGTGCAATACTCATTTGTACTTAAGAGTACCTGTGAAGAACTTGTGAAATACTTAGCAATAGCACTACAAAAATGTTGATTGGCAGCTAGAACACTAAGTACAGGGCATGACAAATACAGCCAAAATCTTAAAAACTTTGACTGTGGTCCACTGAGAAATTGTCCTCCTACCTGTCTAAGCTGGAAGATTCCTCCCGTTAAGACCTCCGCTTTGTGCAGACACTCCACAGGAACGTAGTCACCTTGTTCGTTCAGCTCGTGGATCTCGCAGGACATCTCAATCTTTCGGATCAATTCGCCCCACCTGAAATGGGAGTTGCCAAATTCCTAACTTACTATTAACAAATTTGAGCAAAGCTGTATTGGCCAGAATCAATTCATGATTTGGAGATACACAACACACAAACACTGGTGTGTTTCTTTACTGTTTTCAGAACACATCAAAAATTTGCATCACATTCTAAAGTCGTGGTGCAAGCTCGTTTGTGTACTTCAGCAGTGACTAATTTGGACCAAAAGCATATCACACGGGCCAATTTCATAGAGCTGCTTAAGCACAAAATTTGCTTGACAAATCAGGTAACCAGCCAAAACTTCATGTGATGTATGTTGTTTTGGAATGGTATTCACCTGTCTTTTGGTTAGCAATAACAATCACATAGATTTAGAGCTGGTAACCTTTGTTTTTTAAGCAATGTTTTTCGTGCTTAAGCAGCTCTATGAAACTGGCTCCTGATCGCAATTCGTGAATCTGCTCTATGGCACAAATACTCGTACATGTATGTACGCACAGACTCATCCGAGGAGACGTCGTGTCTGCAGTAGCACCACATTCAACGCAATCTTTAATATGCAATCTCAATCTTTAGGCATATATGAATTTTGGCAAATTGTGGTGCCCTGTTGGTTGAAGAGGTGTGTGACATGCAGATATCACTTGTTCATTAAAGCATGGCACCACAGGATTAAAGGCTTCTAATTCTTGTTGGCAGATTACTGTATAGGACATAGGCTCTTTCAGACTGAAAAAAAAACCAGGTTCTCTGTTGTACATAAAGTTTCTCCAATTGTCAGTTTGAATTCTCACCTGTCTGCTAGTGACCTTGACTTGGCACTGAGATTGTCAATCTCCCAGCCTGGTTTGGAGGATGTGTTGAACCCACTACTGCGATGTCCCCAGACCTCGATGGCAAGGGAGCCCTCCAGCGCATGCTCAATGAAGTCCTCGGACACATTGACGGTAAACTCCTGGATGGTTAAAACCAATCAGATCGGACAGTTTTTGACAACATCAAACTCAGACTTATTAAACCTTACTGGGGCAGAATATGCCATGCAATTCAACATTTTCACCCAATGATATCCTTCTCTGCTCAATGAGCAAATTATACCTTAAGTTGGCAGTTTGCCACTCTGTACGTGTCTTTGTCCTGGGACTGCCAAAATTAGGAAACTGCTGCTAAGCACAAGAAATATTTGCTTAGCCAAACAGGTTACCAGCCATAATGTCAAGGAACATATATGGCTCACAGCTGATAACCCACTATAGCACAATGTTTTGCTTAGCAGCGTTAGGGCATGTAGGAAGCGTATACTACCACTGGCCAACTCAAACGCCAATGGCCCTGAAGCTTCCTGCATCTGCTGTTTACAGCACTATGTCGTGTTTCTCTTGCACATCAGCACAGCTAATTCTACCATGGGCAGGTGTCTAAGCTAAGACACTGGTAGTCAGGCAAAGTGCTATTGAGGCCATTCTCAATACTGAACAGCCAATGTGCCATTTGCTAGACCTTTCAAAGTTATTCTCAGTTCAGTGGGGCAAATGAAATTAGTTATGCTTCTATCAATGCTATTCAAAACACTGAGGAGAAGCGCGCAAAAATGAAAAAGGTGCTACTCAGGCTGTTCTCAAAATGGGGGGGGGAACAGTAATATTACAGCTGTTCTTAATACAGAAGACAAAGTTTGAGGTCACTCAGGGTTTGCTCTGTTGTAATTTGGTAGTGCCAGCAACGGGGCCCTGCTCTGTTGAAAGTGGGCTGTGATGGCAATAAGGCCTTGTATTGAGATGGGTAACGGTAGCAACCAGACTTAGGTATGTTGAAAATGGTCAGTTGCGCATCCTGACGCACCTTGCTGTGACTGAACCTCATGCTCCCTTTGCTGCCGTCCTTTGGTCGCCCTGGTAATTCTTCTAGGTCAGGATTGATGAGAGGTGGCACCACGGTAGGGCCATCCACGCCCCAAAAGGTGTACTGACAGAAGACAAAATGGGCCAGGCTCGGTGGCAGATCAGTTGCCTCCTTAATCTTAATCTGATAGAGAAACCAGACACATTGCCCAATTAAAATTCCTTTTTTAGAAGATACCATTTGCAACCCATGCCCAATTAAAATTCCTTTTTTGGAAGATACCATTTGCAACCCATGCCCAATTAAAATTCCTTTTTTGGAAGATACCATTTGCAACCCATGCCCTAAACCAGCCTCAATCTCCCATCCCTTCTCAGATGCTTTACTCAAGTACTTCCAAATTGCTACACAAATATTCTCAGTTATTTCACAAGTAATCACAAACTGTTCGTACAAAACTGCAACAGATGTATTTCTCTTATTGTTCATCCACTGTTAGTAAAGTAGTTATCGGTATGGTAGTACCTGTGAAGTTGAAGTGACAGTGGAAGAGTACTAGAAAAGTACTTGACTACAATACTGCTCCAAACACACAAGTACTGAAATTGCTACCTACCCTACACATGAGTGGGGCCCCAACAGCCAGTCCCCCTTCCGGCTCGTGGTCTTCCAACCCCTCGTAGCCGCTGGAACTCTCATTGCTGCTCTCCGATTGGCTATCCACGGAGTGATCAGTGGCTGGGATGGAGCCGCTGATTCGCTGGATCTCAATGTGGAGCTTGCCAGCCACCTAGTAAAATAGTCACGACTGAGACTGAAGACAGACACAAACTCCAGATTCTCCCCCCAACAAAAATTAAAGCTTGACCCACCTCTCCCTGTTGACTGATGATGGGCACAGCATAGTCCAGTCTCACATCGTGGAAAAGAACCTCGAGGAAGATGTTAGCCACACCAATCAGGCTGTGGTTCTCTTGTGACTCGTAAAATGGATCCTCACAGATTGGGTCCTCTGCTTCCTTCTGAGTGGAGGTAAGGAACAACAAACAGACAAACTGAGGTCAAAGGTCGGAAGGACTGTAAGGATCAGTGCTAGTTGTTTCTCAAGGAGTGTATTTACTTCTGGTCAGTGTTATTTGTGTCTACTCCTTGTTAGAACAGAATTCCCCTCTAATCAGTTCAGTCCTATCAAGACCTTCAGGTGAACTCACTTGACAAAATGAGTCTCAAGTCGACAGAGCAAATCTGGAGTTACAGGCCTTCAAAAATTCTTGCATTACATGTATGTAAATTGACAGGAACCCCGAACAATTTTCATTCAGATATGACCACTTTTGTCAAGATGTGGGGATGTACTCAAAGAGCTCAATTTGATCATTCTATAAAACAAACTAGAATTCCTTTAAAAGTTGCCCTAAGACTCATTTTGTCAGATCTGATCACACATGTACACGTACACAATTACAGTAGCAAGAAAAGAAACAAACTCCTCTATTATCCAACCATTCTTCAGGACAGTTAACAGTGTGAGTCCTCTGTCACCATAGGATTGTAGTTTCAGAGGTAAAAGGTGAACAACAACTGACACACAAAGGTCGGTACAGACAATTCACATAAACAGCAGAAACAGAATGACACAGGAGGGCAAATCAAGGGAAAATTCTGGGCAAACTAAAACAAGGGTACATCAAATTAAAATGCAGCATAGTACATGCTCAATCAAAAATATGACAAATAAATTAAAAAAATTACAGTTAAAAACTATACACCTTGTAATTGTAATTAGTGTGTATCATTAAGTTGAAGCTTGATTGTAATGAAACTTTGCAGAAAGCTTTGTGTCACATGAATGTGCCACTGTAAAACTTGCTTCTTGCAAGACAGAATAGATAATAGAGTTTAAAAAAAACTAATGGGCATTTTAAACCAATCTAGATCATATCAGAGTTTTCTTGTACACCACTCATCGAAAAATCACCAATAACAGCCTCCTGCTCTCTTCAGTCAAAGTATGGAATATGCAACAAATGTACATGTACAAGGATCAAAAATGATCCAGAGGAACACAAATCACTACATCAGCTCATCAACTAAGGGAATATAAATCACTACATCAGCTCATCAACCAAAGGAACACAAATCATGCATTAGCTCATCAACCAGAGGAACACAAATCACTGCATCAGCTCATCAACCAGAGGAACACC